GCAAAGACATACCTAAGGTTAAGTGTCGGGCCTGTTGGGCTAGTGGTTAGCGATCCTGACTGCTAGGCCGGAGCTCGTGAGTTCGATTCCCACCCAGGACAGATATTGTGCAATGAGCACAACCATTGGTTATGTGTCTGTGTGTAATTTATGTATAAAATGTATGTACCTACCTACATATTTAGAATTATTTCAGTAAATATTTATTTAAAAACATGTATCCAGTTGACGGCAATAAGCTGGCCAAATATGGCATGCATAAAAGGGACTAAAATTATAGTCGGCAAAATGTGTCAAATGTTTTAATTATGCGTGTTAAAGACGTGAGTGTTTGTATTTGTACCTCCAACTAGATACAGTTGGTACTTGCACTGCATTTCGCACCTTTAATAATAAACTGAATTAATTCAAAATTTACGTTTTTCGAGTTTTTAACAAATACCAAATCAACTTCATCAGTAGAACACGAACAATCCAACAGGCGACTCGATACCATGAAAATGGCAGAGATAAGGAGATCGTCGTTCTCTATTTGACGAACTCGCACGTACAAATGTCAAACTTTAAATGCGATTTCCCACAATATTGAAATTCTGAGTTAATTCAGTTTATGAATAAAGGTGCGATTTGTACTAATAATTTATGGAGAACTGATAAATGATCTATAGTGACTTAATCAATGCTATGATTCGGCATCGGGATATTTTAAAACTATCTTCAATTCTCTTCTTTAATAATTTTATCTAATCTAAGTAGGTAGGTACTTATACGTAGGTATATATCGGATAAGTAAGTATATCATATTTACTTAAATCCTGCATCGTGCTTCGACGGATAGGTTGGTCATCTATCTGTCAGCCTCTTATATCTTCTAGATGTATAAAACAAGTTTTCAAAAATCGTATTTGCCAATGGTGTGGTATTTGTTCGACATGTCCACACCATGGAACGTGCTCAAACACGACTAAGTAATGTTGAGTAGATGATATGTTTCTATAGTCACCTTTCGGATCCATCATGACTATGTTTGCCTAATTTATTTTAACAAGGCTTATTTGGAAACGAGTGGTTATAAATCAAAACATGCATATACGGTACCATTTGTGATTCACTGTTTTAATATATATTTACCTACGCTTTTTTCATAATACGGATTCCATATTATTACGGCATATATTTATTAAGGCGAAAATAGGTATCAGCCTATTTAAATTTAGTTGTGGACCTCATTGCCAATCTATATAAACGTTATTAGTAAAGCGTTATTATTATTTTACTCTTGACAAAGCAACCTTCTGTTCCATAGGTGTAATGATCAATTATAGGTAACGGGATATAAGGGGGCATACGAGCAGACGGGTCACCTGATGGTAAGCAACTACCGCCGCACATGGACATCTGCAACTCAAAAGTCACAAGTTCGTTGCTGCCCTTGGAGTCCCTCCCGCTGAATCGAGCGGGATTTGGTCTCCGGAAACCTCACCCACACAGTGAAAGGCAACGAAAGAATTGCCTAACACCCGTTTTCTGTGAGGCCGTTGTATCACTCTGGTCGAGCCGACCCATTCGTGCCGAAGCATGGCTCTCCCACGGTACTCCTACTCTTCAAGGCTGATCCTTTAAAACGGATGAGCATTTTTCAGTTTTTAAGCTTAGAATGCTAAAATAAGAGCATAAAATGTAAAAAAATATTTTGTACATTTTTATAAACTTTATGGACCTTTATATACTTCTTGACGAGGATTTAGGACGGCACCTTGTCAAAACCGTTTTCCTCTCTTTAGAAGTAAAAGTACTATTCGATTTTGCCATTTTCTTTACATATGCAAATACTGACGCCTTTTTATTTAAACCTGTATTCAATATCACATTGTCTTCATGAGCATTAAACGTCTTGACATTAGAATACCTGAAGAACACCTTCAGTTTCACTTTTAATAAGTGTTACGACAACTTGTAAGTTTCATTATTAAAAACAATATAATCTAATATGCGACGTCATTATTAAACAAATTATGACGCTCCTCATACACGCCTAAATACTTAATAGCATTACACATAGGTCACAGGAATATTAAATAGTTCATCCTTGCCGTCGTCTAATTACATGGGCATAAATGGTAATAATGATTATAATTGGTGAGAAACTATTGCGTTTTACTTACATTAGCAGTTTCGCACCATTACTTGTGAACTACGAAGTGTTTTTCTCTTAATAACGTCTGAGTATAAGAGTTTTTACAAATTCTAGGGGACCCAATGTAATCGTTAAATAAAGTATTGAATGTAACAAAAAGATGCTACACCCAGTATAGTGGATGTTACACTGTACCTTGCACAAGCAATCAGCAGAACAATTTGTCGCCTACGGTATTTGCGGTCTGATACGTCCTTCAAAAAAACATCACCAGAGCTGTGTACATGTTACAGTCAGAACTCCTAACCGGTCAAATAATATGAAATATCTATACTTACCAAAGAGCAAATATAAAGTATTTGCTCCGTGAGACGAGTACTTACCCACCAAAGATAATCTTTTTCGGTTTTGAGCGTAACTATCCTGAAACTTTCCTTAATACCATGTAATTGATGATCGATCACTGAAAGCAAATTAATGACATTAATCACAAGTTGTGATAATATGCGCATTGATAGATATCGCTCGTTAAAAATATTTATATAATTTCAATCACGTGTACGGTAAATGGACTTAGGTCAGAGTTTGAGTTTAAGAGCTCAGAGTTCAAAATGAACTTTATCAAGAGAGATTTATTGCTACAGATTATTTATAAAGTATTCATGTCACTTACAATCGTTACTGAGATAAAACTACCCTGTCTTTCTTGCAACTAAACACTCATATTTAGTAAACAAAACTCAACTTGTTCACCGTGACCAGTGGCGGATTAACCCTAAGGCGAAGTAGGCACGTGCCTAGCGGCGCGGGGTTACAAAGGAGCAGAATCTTTTAATTATATGCCTAATTAAAAATATATGCCTAATATAACAAGAACTGTGTCAGTAAGTATGCACATGCTTAAATGGGATTAGAGGCGGAAATGAGTGGCTAAAAGCCACTTGCCGAGCCACGATGACTCGTTGGTCGTTCCGGTTGGAGGCTTCATGTGGAGGCGGTCCAGCCGGTCATCGTCTAATAGGCAGAGTGGCCCCTTTCTTTCCGACTGACGCAGATCTTTTCTGGGCACGTCTGCTTAGGGAGGTACAAGCAGTCTATCGCTAGGAGTGAATTGAGTTGCACCTGTCACCACTGCAGTGCAGTTTGAACTCGGCTCAGCACACACTGGTCAACGTACCAGTCCTCACACGCTCCATGGGTAACGTGCCTTTCAGCGCCTCATACCGCCCTAAGTGTGGTCTCAGATGGCCGGGTTTTCCCCTCTAATCGCCACGGAGGCCGACCGCGAGGAGGTGACGTCCTCGTGTGGCGGACGTTTTCTCAATGGGAGTTTATTCCCGAAGGTGGCAGGCGCTAGGAGCGGTGCGCAGCCGTCATAAATATACACGGGGGACTGCCTTTTGAAGACATCACTACCTATGGGCGCTAGAGAGGCGCAGGGGGTGGGGGGAGGCGCCAATGAGATGCTTGCCTAGGGAGCTCTTGATACTTATTCCGCCTTTTACCTTAACAATACTCACTGATCGATTTCACCTATTTCAGACAATAAGAATAATAATAAAAGAGAAAGAAGGCAGAAAAAAAGTAAGACTCCGGCGTGCTATGTATGTAGGTGGTATATGACCTAGTTACTTTAATATTATCATCCTTACCATCCTTTTAATAGTGAAGGATGGCATGAAATCTATGTAACAGCCCGGTGCATTTACACCGTGCTAAACAGAAACTCCTACAATTTTGAAGGATTTAAAGTTATTTAATATAGACACACAGTGTTAATGTATATTATACATCTATACTAATATTATAAAGAGGTAAAGTTAGAGAGTTTGTTTGATCGGGGTAATATCCGGTACTACTGACCCGATTTAGAAAATTCTTTCACTGTTAGAAACAAAACAATATCTTTGTTCTGTGATTAGATGATTGATGATGAAGATTACAAAATGATGCAATTGTTTGAAGGTGAATAATAGGTAAGCGTAGGCGTTTAAAGAGAAATTTTACATGTACATAATCAACCTTCATTGTGCCACTATTTCATTTGATAAGAATTAATATCATCATACATATGTCATTCGTTCAGTTTTAACAGTGTTTTTCTTGATTAATTTTAACAAAAAGTGATTATTTGTCTTAACGAAAATAAATTAGTCCTATAACCAGCAGGAATTTATTTTTAGAATCATTAATATTTTTGTTTCAGCGTGACTTCTATAATAATGACTTCTATAAGAAAATGATTCAGAACTTAGGTTAGGTACATTATTGCAATTTTCGTAGAGACCTCTATATTTTTTTAGGTATTACTCACTAACACCGTAATAGCTAAAGATTTTATAACATGCTAACAGGTTAAATTAATATTTGAGTATGCATTATCCATATCATCATAAAGTCAAGTTAACATTTTATCATTTTAGTTTGGATAGGTAGAAAAATTGTTTATAATATACATATATATAAACCACATAAATAATCCTATACATATATAATAAATGTGAAAGTGAATTTGTTTGTTACGCTTTTACGCCTAAACCAATTAAGCGATTTAATAAATTCTTCGAATTCACCAATGGAAAGCTCATTACATTATCAGCGAGTAACATAGAGACTACGATTTATCGCTATAACCGACATATACGCGGGCGGAGCCGAGGGCTAAAGCTAGTTACTATATACAATGAAATACTGTATAAAAAATAAGTCAACATAAATAGCCAATTATCCTATAATATGAAATAGAATAGATAGATCTCACCATTAATTACCATAACATAGCATAATACTTTACAAAACTTTACACAAAAAACATCAATCTTTTAAAACCTTCTTTGTTGTTACAGAAACACAGACTTTAAAAATGTCAGCGTTCAACGTGGTGTTGGGGTGCGTGATGGCACTCCTAGTCATATTATGTACAATAAGTTCGATGGCCAGATACTACATAAAGGTAATAAACTTTCGCTAATCCAAAAATACAAAACTGAAAGTGTCTGTACCAAGAATAAGCAACAAAAAATGGCACCGGTTCTGGACCTGTACAAACATGTCTTTCTCGGATTCCCACTATCTTTAAGTCCAAAATAGTCACTTCCGTAAACAAAATATAGATGTTGCTCTTTACTCCCTTCCTAAGTCTATCATTTGTTTTAATAACCCTTACCATGATGACGATATTGGCCAAATTCCTTATTCGTCACTTATTGGTGTAGGTGTCTGAAACTACAAGCTTATAAATTATAACTCACGCCTACGAAATTCATAATAAGTTATAATGAATTTCGTAGGCGTCAGCTATGAGGTCACTACTATGTGACTGGATATACTGAATGAAGGTAGGTAAATTGTATATTAAAGTGAATGAAAAATTTACTTATATACACTTATACTTGAATCAAATTATAAGGGGATTGTAGCTGTGACAAAATTTTATACTACTTATCTTGCAGTGCAGCTATTTAAATGTATTTATACTGTACGCTTTCGCTTAGATTATTAATTTATTATACGCTTTAATTTAATTGATTTATTTTTATTTAATTTCAGTTCACGATATTCATTGCTCTAAGTTTGATATGCGCGACAGTTCCAGTGCCACTTATGTTACTTAAGCCGTTTGATCCTAAAAATGCATTGTAAGTATACATAACTGTTACTACTATTATAAGGAATCTATCTAAATAGCAGTTGACTATTAGTAGGCGAAAGAAAAGCTTATATTATTTAAGAAAAGTTAATTTGAAATAAATTCTAAATCTGTTTCTCGCTTCTTTTGTACCTAAAGCATGACTGCAAAATTTGAATTTAAAAATAAATGTTGAACCAAAACTGAAAAAATATTGCACCGATAAACTAACGTTATCTTATCTGTAAGGATTGCTTTAAAAACTGCGGTAACATTTTATTTTCTCCCCTAGTTCGATATTTAGATTGGTAAATTGTTAAGTTCCATTGATTATTCTGACATAATGGATCGGGAAATTAATGATATCCACAATTTTGCATACTTCTTAAAAAGTTAAGGGTACTAAGTACTTGTACTCTAACTAAAATGTTGCTTATAACAAGCTTCGACAAAATTCATTTTAGGAATCTCACGATACTTGCACGGGGAAGGCGCAAAGATGTGATCAAACGCTCACAACTTATAGAAACTAATACCAAGACGTACATACATTTTAGTGCGAGCGTATAGTTTCCTGTCCATCCTCGAGTAACCGGGAAACACATATAGAAAAGGATACGTCTTCGTTTGTTGGAAAAGTCGGACCTTACCCTTCTATTTTGAAGTCAGTTAAAACCAATTAAAATAATACGTATATAGACGTATTATTTTAATTGGTTTTAACTGACTTTTTCAATACCTCAGGCTTTACTTAAGTTTGGTGTGTTTTTTTTTTTGTATCAAAAGATTGGAGATTGATCTTATTCCCGGAAACTTAACTAGTTGGAAGTGAAACGTGTTAATGAACGCGTGCAAGCCCCATCTACTAAGAATTACTGAATCTGAATTATGAATATTTATGTAACTGTGTTGGTATTGGTTACTTGTATTGAATTGAAACAATGTAGCCTAATTATAAGTGACATGGTAGTAGAATACACATTGTGCCTATTCGTGTTTGGAAGTTGTAGAGTTGCAATCAAAATAAGTCATTCAAGGTCCTTATTCGAAAATTCTTTAGTTGTATTTATATCATGTCCCTAACCACACGAAATCGGAGTTGCATTCACAAGCAAAATGGGCACCTATTATTGGGTAAAGCTATTTATTTCTGGTAAATAAGTCCCTATCTGACAACGTTGTGGAAATTTCCAGTGTGTCGAACAGGGTAGCGTACCTCATTATCAAGCTCACCGAGAGGTATAGCCTCAAGGTTGTGCAAGTGTACGCACCGACCTCGGCACATTCGGACGACGAGGTGGAGGATATGTACGATGACATATCGAGGGCCCTCCACTTCACAACTAAGACCCACTACAACGTTGTTATGGGTGACTTCAACGCTAAAGTGGGAGTACAGAATTGCAGCGAATCGGTAGTAGGATCCCATGGATTTGGAAGCAGGAATCATAGGGGGCAAATGCTGGTCAACTTCCTCGAACGGGAGGGGCTGTTTTTGATGAATTCTTTCTTCAAGAAACGGCCCCAAAGGAAGTGGACGTGGCAAAGCCCCGACGCTATGACTAGAAATGAGATCGATTTCATCATGACGGATAGAAAGCACATATTCAGAGACGTCTCAGTGATCAATAGGTTTAATACCGGTAGTGATCACCGACTTGTCCGGGGCTCTCTGAATATCAACTTGAAGGCGGAACGTGTCTGTTTGATGAAATCCAGGCTCCGACCAACTCGGCTCCAAGCCATGACAGGATCTGAAACGTTCCAGTCAAAACTGGCAAACCGATTCGCTGCCGTGGAAACCACAATCGACGTAAACCAGAACCTCAAAAATGTGGTTCAGATCCTCAGGGAAGAAGGTATGAGATTTTGTGAAATGCAGCGTAAGGGCAGGAAGTCGAAGCTTTCAGAAAGGACCCTAGGGCTGATGAAGAAACGACGTGAAAACCCACCTGTCACTTTGTCGGCAAAGCGGACTCTAAACCGAGAGATCAGTAAACTCGTACGACACGACCTCCGGTGCTCCAATACTCTTTTAATTGAAAGAGCGATCGAGCAAAATCGGGGGTCAAAAGTGTTCGTACAATCTCTTGGAAGAAGCCACCTGACAAAGCTGACTACAGAAAGTGGAGAAGTCGTTGCTTCGAAGCCGGCAGTCCTCTTGGAAGTGGAAAGCTTCTATGGCCGGTTATACGCTTCGCATGCATCTCGACCTGATCCCGAAAATGAGGACTCTAGAGCCACATTAACACGTCACTACACCGAAGACCTGCCAGAAGTTAGCATTGACGAAATCGAGATGGCTCTTGGACAGCTGAAAAATGGAAAAGCCCCTGGAGAGGATGGCGTTACAACAGAGCTGCTGAAGGCCGGGGGTAAACCCGTACTAAGGGAGCTCCAAAAGCTCTTCAACGCTGTCCTGTTTGAAGGGAGAACTCCAGAAGCGTGGAGTAGGAGTGTGGTCGTCTTGTTCTTCAAAAAGGGTGACAAGACCAGGTTGAAGAACTATCGACCCATATCCCTTCTAAGCCACGTCTACAAGCTGTTTTCGAGAGTCATCACGAACCGTCTTGCGCAAAGACTCGACGAATTCCAACCACCGGAGCAAGCTGGGTTTCGGAGCGGATATGGCACCATAGACCACATCCACACAGTGCGGCAGATTATACAGAAGACCGAAGAATATAATCAGCCCCTGTGTCTAGCATTCGTGGACTATGAGAAAGCCTTTGACTCGATCGAGATCTGGTCTGTTCTGGAGTCTCTGCAGCGTTGCCAAGTAGATTGGCGATACATCCAAGTGATGAGATGTCTCTACGAAGCCGCCACCATGTCCGTCCAAGTACAGAATCAGCAAACAAGGCCCGTACCATTGCATCGAGGAGTGAGACAAGGGGACGTTATTTCCCCGAAATTGTTCACAAATGCAATGGAGGACATGTTCAAGACGCTGCACTGGAAAGGGCGTGGCATCAATATCAATGGCGAATACATCTCTCACTTGCGGTTTGCAGATGACATCGTCATCATGGCAGAGACGTTGCAGGACCTACAGCAAATGCTGAATGACTTAGCTGACACTTCTGTACGCATCGGCCTACGGATGAACTGGGATAAAACCAAGGTCATGTTCAACGAACATGTACTACCGGAACCGATTGCGGTACACGGTGCCGTTCTCGAAGTTGTTCAAAATTATGTGTACCTCGGGCAGACATTGCAGTTAGGTAGAAACAACTTCGAGGACGAGGTGAACAGAAGAATTCGGTTGGGTTGGGCAGCGTTTGGGAAGCTACGTCGAGTCTTCTCATCGTCGATCCCACAGTGCCTTAAGACGAAAGTCTTTAATGAGTGCGTCCTACCCGTCATGACATACGGAGCTGAAACGTGGACACTTACGGTACGGCTGGTCCACAAGTTCAAAGTCGCTCAACGTGCTATGGAAAGGGCTATGCTCGGCGTTTCTCTAAGGGATCGCATTAGAAATGAGGTGATCCGGCAGAGAACTAAGGTCACCGACATAGCGTACCGGATCAGCAAGCTGAAGTGGCAGTGGGCTGGCCATATTAGCCGCAGAACCGATAACCGTTGGGGAAAACGAGTTCTTGAGTGGAGACCGCGTCTCGGCAAACGTAGTGTAGGACGCCCACAGGCCAGGTGGAGTGACGATTTGCGCAAGATGGCTGGCGGGAGCTGGATGCGAGAAGCCCAAAATCGATCTAAGTGGCGTGCAATGGGAGAGGCCTATGTCCAGCAGTGGACTGCGATAGGCTGATGATGTGATGTGATGTGATGTGATTTATTGTCTAATATATTATGTGCCAAATAGTATCAATGTAGGTCATGACCTAAATAAATTCAGGCTTACGTAATATATTTAATGTCGCAGCTGGTTGTATTGTAATAAAAAGGAAACATTAAAAAGTCAAAGTGATTGTATACCTACTTTTATTTACCGCAAATTGACAGATGGATAAATCAACTGAGTCTGATTCTACTCTAACTGACATTCTCAATACTTTAATCACTACGTAAGTGTAGCTCAAGAAAAGAACGATTCATCTAGAAGTGCTACCTACTCTTATTATAAACTAGCTGACCCGCGCAACTTCGTCTGCGTCTCTCAATAGTAATAAATTTTCTCCGTTTTTGAAACATTGTTCATTGGTGCTCCGCTCCTATTGATCTTAGCGTGATGATATATAGCCTATAGCCTTCCTCGATAAATGGGCTATATAACACTGAAAGAATTTTTCAAATCGGACCTCTAGTTCCTGAGATTAGCGCGTTCAAACAAACAAACAATCAAACAAACTCTTCAGCTTTATAATATTAGTATAGATATATTACGAATCTACAATCAGCAGATTTTATAACTCGTGATTCCAGAACCTCATTTTGAGCAGTCTGATTCTAATAAAATAAACGATGGTGTTCGAATCTTAGTGGCATGCGAGGTAACAATTATTTTACATGTGATTAATTTTATAGATTCTTCATAATGGCTTAGTTAATATTATGAATTTGTTACTTTTGTTTTCCATGGTTTTTATTGTTTGTAATTTTTCTTAGCCACTGCCTTAATTTTTTTTCATTTTAGTATTCATTAATTAGGCTTTTATGGTGGTCTGTACGTACATTACATATTAAAATGTGATTAGGTTTGCTTACGTCATGTTCCTGTTTTTCAAAAGCAGACAATTATTGCCACTGAATAACAAAATGATCGTTATAAATCAAAACTAAAGAATTATACTTCCTCTTTATTAAACTTCAATGCTACGTTCGTGGTACTTAACTATTGTCAAATAATTTACTTTTAATATTTGTCTGCCAATTAAAGACTAATAACGAAATTGGATATGGATACAGTATGAAGTATGTATGACAATGAGTATGATTGGATACAGCTGAGTATTTTTCACATTCTGTTGAACAATTTATTTTAGCAATACGAAACTAACCTTTTCAAAAATAGTTTTTTTAGTACTGTAAATACTTAGTATCTGTATGTACACATAAACTTCAACTTAACATTTGGTTACGGTGCATTAACAACCCTAAATCCTGTTCAGTGAGTTAATTAAATGAAATCCTGTAATACACGCGTAGTAGACGTATGTTTAACGTAAAAAGTTAATTTTTTCATTGGGAATGAATTATTGCTACCTATTGATTCTTGAAAAGGATTATAAATGTGTGTGTGTAAAAAGTTATAAATGTGAACGTGAGATTGTCTGTTTGTTTGTAACGCTTTCATCCTTAAATCACTAAACTGATTTTTTAAATATTTCACCAATGGAAAGCTTCATTATTAGCGAGTTACATAGGCTACTTTTTACTGCCATAACCGACATAAACGCAGGTGGAGCCGCGGGCATAAGCAGCAGTAAGTATTAATATACTTTATGAGTAAGACAAAAGATGCATATTAAACCTACTTTGCAGTTTGTCTTTTGAAATTCTTTAAGAGTTTTTACACACACAGTGTCACGTCTATAGTGTCGATATTTTGTTTATATATTCGTACTCAAGTCCAAATTGGTTTCTCATAAATGTGTCAATGTGTTACAGATTTAAAAATAACCTATAAATCCTTACATCTGCCAGTAGGTATATCTTTTGACCTGTCATAATACGTAAGACTAATGAAATAAAGCGATTCGTAGTACTTATAATATAAAGAGCTAACCATTGTTAATGTACTTGTTTGTGTTTGGTTATAACTAGTAATCTTTGGCAATATAACTACTGTGCCAATTTAAAAAAATCTTGTCTTAATAAGAAATATTACCTTTGTATAATAAATAGTTTAATTGTTATCAAGGTAAATAGTAACCATAAAAGTAATAGGTACGCTGTCTAGTCGTAAACAGCGCATCGTATCTCATTTAAATATTTTAACTACAGTAATGGCAAAACAATACGTGTACGATTTTGCTCCTTATCGGGCCGTTTATTTAGCGGTAATTTTCTTTTTCTTTTCTTTATTTTCTTTTGGAGTGTTTTACCGTTCGAGGACGGCTTAATCCATTAAGAAGTTCTAGACAACTAGATATATACATTTATTATAGGAGGAATAGGAATTTGGAATACCTTAAATAATTTTAATTTTTTCAAGTTTTATCTTTATTAAAACGCGATTATTTTTGATCTCAGGTTCATAATATCCTACCAGTATTTCGCAAATGACTTTGTGTCTGATGATTAGAATTGATGTTTAACCAGCTTAAAAATAGGAGGTTTGAAATTTGGCTACAGTTTTTTTACGTCTTTGATTCGGAAAGTTCTTTTTTATTTGCAACTTCCTTTTCAGTCCTATTCAAATTTCCGGAATAAAAAATAATTCCTGACGCTGCATTATTATTTGATTAATTAAGGTCGGTTACCTGTGAAAAAGACGAAACTTAGTACCACTCATTTTCAACCCATTTTATAAGTAGGTACAACTCGTGGAACTATTTCCACTATTTCCAGTAAATTTAAATCCATCATCTTGACATTTCGATGATAAGAAAGATCACTCCTAAATTATGTTTTTAAACATTTTTTGTCCAACGGTCATAAATTATTGTTGTTTGTCATACATGTAGATTATTAAAAACTATCGATATAATGATAAATTTACGAGAATACTACATTACGACTTAACTATCCACATGACTAAATTATAAGTCATTTTTTTACGTTACGAGTTGTTACATAACTGAGGAAAATGATAAGGAAAAGAAATATTATGAAGTCACAGGTGTTTACAAAGAGAGCTACTCTGTTAAGCACGAGTCATATTTCTAAAACTGGCTAAGAGCAGTCTACCTTTTTTTTTAGTCTGTTCGATTCCAACACACCGGGCCCCGGTGGGGTGACGGCCCAAATGGGGTTTTCACACATAAAAAAAAGGTAGACTGCTCTTAGCCAGTTTTAGAAATATGACTCGTGCTTAACAGAGTAGCTCTCTATAAGGAAAGCCCGACGTACCTCGGGCCATCTACGGCTTATAGATGACCTCTCCTGTGTGGGAACCCGGATGTTCCCTTCCTGACCCCTGTAGCACGTAGCACCCACCCCGGCCTGCTTCTGCTATCGTGACAGATGGCCTCACCTGTGACCCTCAGGCCTGCGCTTATGGAGGGCGGAGGTCGTTCTGTGACCTCCGGCGCCTGAGCTGTCTGCGGTACCATGCCCGTTTTCGGGCCTAGCGGGCCGGGAGAGTTCTGAACCTCTCCGGTCCCGCGCCGCCATCTCCTTCGCAAGCATAACCTGCTCGCAGAAGGAGACGGCGGAGTTATACGCACTCTTGCTTCGTACCATGTCGGCAATCATGCTACCGAGCGAGAGAATTCCCACTCCGACGACCGCCACTAAGCTATGCCTATTGACGTCTTTGCAGAAGGATACGACCGCGGTAAAACAGCTTACCCGAATGCGCCACAAGTATTTAAGGTTTTGTTTTTCGAGTGTATGTTTGTTTTTGTTTTGGCACGCTCAGTAGCCTAAATTGCTTTCTGGATTTTGGCGTTTGAGGTGTCGTTAGATTCATCTTAATTGGGAAAGTGATACTGGGTATTCGAAAATTATAAAATTAGAATCGCCGGTTTGTAAAATTTAAGTTTACACTTCTAAACAGTCTGGTTTTGTTTTTTCAATGATTAGCTTGTTTCTTAATTGATTCTTATCAGTGAAGTAATAAAATTGCAACGGCGTGTTAGTACCTACTTATATTTATATTTAGTATATTTTATAAACAGGATACCATCGGCATCACTGAGAGTTTTTGCAAAAGTATTTGGCCTGAGTTGGACAGTGCGAGGATTGGAGAACGTAGACAACAATCGGGGATCGGTTGTACTTCTAAACCATCAGAGTGGTCTTGATCTATTCCGTAAGTAAATAAATTATATAATTGAGTCCCCAAGTAACACAAACAAATGACATAATTTTCTTGGATAGGAAGTTGCCATTACATATTGTCATTTTTATTTACGTACATGTGTGTTCTAGGTTAGTTAAACTATTCAAAACACCTTTATTTGCTTGTATCAACCAGTTAAAGCAAGCTTCCATGCGAACTGTTTAATTTATTTTTCAATTGATTCCTACAGCATATTTATATAACGTATGCGCGTAACGTATTCGTATAAGTGAAATTAAACCTAAAAATATGAGCAATTTGGTTTTATTCATTGTCACAGATGTCACAGATACTACAGACAAAGAAAATTTAATGCAGTAAATTTGATTTTTGGAATAAGTGTGTAACCACTTATGACATTAGGTCTGAATTCTATTATAAATAAAATAAAATTCTTTGGTCAGAACTCAAAATTAGGTGTTTAGGTGATAAATAATTTCACACGTGGCATTGATGATGATAATAATATTTAACAAAAAATAACGATAACAAGAAATCGTCATCAATCAAGTCATGCTAGTGGTAGCATATATGTATTTTGAGGTTGATACTAAAATATAGAGTTTTCTGCATGGTCATACCAATTTTAAATTTGAATTGATTTATTTGTGTGAAACCCCAATATAATATGTCCAAATTAGTTTTTTTTAATATTTTAAAAATGTGTTTGATCCCAATGATAATTATGAATATTAATGAAATGTGTCGGATGCAATGAATGCTATACTAGAATGAGTAAAGCTCGCAGGTTCTGAATATTGAACCGAGATTTGTCCGTCCTAGACAATGACTTTGATAAAAACCCTTAAAACGTATCTTATGCAATAGCAGCAAACATTTCCCTTTATTATTTCTGCAATCCCATTTAAGTACCTTAGTCAGTTTTCAGTACGTAGGTTCTTAGACTGGACACTGGGCTAAATGTTCGTGTAATACTTGCCATACCTTTTCCCAGAAACGCCTCTATCTCGCGATATGTAACATGACGATCTTGCATTATTAGTTCCCGCATAGCATCAATATTCTGAGGTACAACAACCGATTTAGGACGACCTTCTTTAAATTCGTCCGTGATCACAGACCGCCCTTAATTAAACTCACTAAACCAGTGATATACTGTTGTTTTTGATGGTTGATCGATAGTTAGTGATCGATAAACTGTTTTTGAGTTAGCCCTCCCGAAAACAGTAATAAATCATAGTACGAAAATTTTCACGAGTTAAATCCATAGTGATAAAGACAAGCAATATTCAAAATGGCCACAAACGATAAGCAAATGACAGCTACATGAAAAAAAGGTATTCTTCAGTCAGGGTCATTTTTAAATGTTTTAATAACTGTTTAATATTGTTATGTAACTAGCCAGTTCCGGATAGATAAATAGCAGCCTTCGTACCTTACCTTCAAACATTTACACTTTTAATTATTACACTAGGATTTGGATTGTTAGATTGTTTAATAGATAAGCAATGAGTATAGTCCTAATAACTTACTTTGAATAAGAAATTATGTTTTTTTTTCAGTATTGCGCAGGAAATCAAACTAACTGCACGGTAATATTATTTAAAAGCATGATAGAGCAACAGAGGCCACCGGCGGACCGTGTTGCTTTATGTTTTCAGGTGCTCAAATTTGACAAATAATATCCATTATCTTAAATACAACACTTTCTGACGTACCTATGATAACTTTCCCTACTTACGTTTATTTGATGGTTCTTTCATTTCGTATGATAGTTCTATTTATGTGTAGGATGATTATCGGAGGTGTGCGTCTACTCTTTCTTCTAATTGAGAAAATTGTAGTTGTGTAAGTTATGTTCAATATCGTTGTAATCAGAAAAGCATTTATGTCTAAAAACAAAAAAAAAATCCAAGTAACTCTCCACGAGAATTAGTTTTAACTTTATTGCGGTATTTTTTTTGCAAAATTCGAAACTTTTTAAAATTTATATTCTTATGTGGCTGACTACTAGTTCTCCTTATAGAGCACAAATATGTTCGTGTTTCTGAAATAATAATTAACTTATGTTTGACTGAAGGTAGTTAAAAGCCATAGTTAGTTAACAGTAGGTACACATAAATTTGATAGCACCATTGTAATGCAGATATTACCTTTAGTTTAGTAGTATAATAGTCAGACACTTCGTGATGACTTGAAAAATAAAAACTAGGTGAATTATTATTATTTTTTCAATACCTGCAATAATTGACTTGGGTATTTCTATTCAAATTCTTATCAGTTATTAGTTCTAAAAGCGATAATGTGTTAATAGCGTTATTGTTATTTCAATTATGTCAAGGTTTTGATAATACAAGGATATTGTTATTTAATCATATATTTGTTTAATCTACTTCGTAACTGTTACTGTTTTACTTTAAAAAAGTCAGTCAATCAGATGGCATGTTAGTATTATTTTTATTTGCCAAAATGATTTTGATAAGTAGTTTTGTAGCTTTTAAAAAAATACAATAATTTTTCCGAGTCTGCATGTATGTAACTTGTGTCTCTAAAACTATGCTTGTGTTGCCCCTGTGGTAGAGGGATCCTTCCTTTGTGTGGATCTAACCTTTTATTCATATATCATCATCATTAACAGTTTTTCATTGTTCACTATTATTCTTCAGAAAGGAGGTTTTGGCCTACTATACCACGATGGCCAGACGGGTTGGTATAGGGTTTTCCCAGGAGCTGGCGGACCTCCGTGCGGCCTGTACACGTGCCCGGAGGTCCTACACACGCAGTCGGCGGCGTCACCGTGGAGACGGTGAGGAGGACCGGCTTCATGAGGAGTACCGGCGGGCGCGGAAAACTCTGAAGCTGGCCATTAGCCGCGCCAAAGAGGAAAAGAGACAGGAGATGCTGGAGGGTCTTAATCGTGACCCCTGGGGTCGCCCTTACCGCGCGGTGCGACAAAAGCTCCGCGCGTCGGGCCCCCCCCTTACGGAGACTCTCCAGCCCAGCTTCCTGCAGGAAGTGGTCGAGGGCCTATTCCCGCAGCGGGCGGAGCACACACCCCCGTCAATGGCTGCATCAGCCGGAGACGACGGGGTCAGCGAGGTCGATGTTCCGCCCGTCAGGGAATCGGAGTTGAGGGCGGCTGTTCTACGGATTCGATCCAAGAACACCGCCCCCGGGCCGGACGGGGTTCCAGCCCGAGTGATGGCCCGAGCCCTCGACTACATGTCGGACCACCTCAGGGGGGTGTTGGACGCTAGCCTGGCGTCCGGACGCTTCCCTGAGTGCTGGAAATGCGGGAAGCTGGTCCTGCTGCAGAAGCCGGGACGGCCTGCCGATTCGGTCGCGGCCTATAGGCCCATCGTGCTGCTGGACGAGGCGGGCAAATTGTTTGAGAGGGTTCTTTCTGCCCGCATCGTCCGGCACCTCTGCGAGGTGGGCCCCGATCTGTCGGACGCCCAATTTGGTTTTCGGGCGGGGCGTTCGACAGTCGACGCCGTGTTGCGCCTGAGGGCCGTGACCGAAGAGGCAGTGAGCTGTGGCGGCGTGCTGTTGGCGGTGTCATTAGACATCGCCAACGCATTCAATAGTCTGCCATTCAGCTGCATCAGGGAAGCACTCCACTATCATGGGGTGCCAAAGTACCTGAGGCGGCTAGTGGCAGACTACTTAGAGGAGCGTACCGTCGTGTACGAGGACCGAGAAGGTAATTTGAGGAGTCGGCCCATGTCGTGCGGTGTTCCACAGGGGTCTGTTCTTGGACCCCTCTTGTGGAACATAGGGTACGACTGGGCCCTTCGCGCCGATTTCCCCCCCGGGCTGGGTGTAATCTGTTACGCAGACGATACCCTCGTGACAGCCCGGGGGGCAAACTTCCAAGAGGCGGCGCGCCTGGCCACAGGGGGAGTCTCCCTGGTGGTCGGGCGCATTGAGGCGCTGGGCTTACGGGTGGCCCTAGATAAGACGGAGGCCCTGTTATTCCATGGGCCCCGTCGTGGTCCACCCCCTGGCGCCTCAATCGTGGTCAACTCGGTCCTCGTACCGGTTCGGGCCCAGATGAAATATCTGGGCCTGATCCTCGACGGGAGGTGGCTCTTCGACGAGCACTTCCGACAGCTTGCTCCAAAGCTGGTCGGCGCTGCGTCTGCCCTAGGGCGACTTCTGCCCAATATGGGTGGACCCAGCGTCGCGACAAGACGGCTGTACACGGGGGTTGTCCGGTCAATGGCACTGTACGGTGCACCGGTGTGGGCGGCGGCTCTGACCGCCCAGAATAGGGTACGCCTCTGGCGCCCTCAGAGGGTAATGGCGGTCAGAGCCATACGCGGTTACCGCACCGTTTCGACGGAGGTGGCATGCGCATTGGCCGGAACTCCCCCGTGGGATTTGGAGGCGGAAGTGCTCGCCGAAGTTTATCGGCGAGTGGCTGACTTCCGGGCGGAGAGCGGATTTCGCCCTCCGCCCGAGGATGTGCGCGAGTGGCGCGAAGCCGCTCGCCGAGCCACGATGGCTCGTTGGTCGTTCCGGCTGGAGACTCCACGCGCTGGCTTCGCCGCCGTGGAGGCTCTCCAGCCGGTCATCGCCGAGTGGGCAGGGCGGCAGCACGGGACCCTTTCCTTCCGGCTGACGCAGGTGCTTTCCGGGCACGGTTGCTTCGGAAAGTACCTGCACACGGTCGCAAGGAGGGAACTGAGTCCCGCCTGCCACCACTGCGACTGCAGTGAGGACTCGGCCCAGCACACGCTGGCGGTCTGCCCCGCATGGGCGGCGCAGCGTCGGGCCCTCACTGCAGTCATCGGAGTGGATCTCTCGCTACCGGCCGTAGTACGCTCCATGGCCGGTAGCGACAGTTGTTTTACCGCGGTCGCTACCTTCTGCGAGGTAGTAATCTCGCGGAAGGAGGCGGCGGAGAGGGCCCGGGAGGACGACCTCCACTCGGACCCGATCCGCCGCCGGCGAACCGGGCGGCGGAGGCCCGCCTATCACAGCCTCATGCCGCCCTGAGTGTGGCCGCGGGTGGACGGGGTGGGTTTCTCCTCCACCCGCATTAGTTTGGCCAGCCGCGAGGGGGCGGCGTCCGCGTGTGCCGGACGTCGCCTATAAAGAGAGGAAAAACATCGAGACGGAGCCCGCACCAGGAGCGGGCTGGCGCTAGGAGGGGTCCGGATGTCTTAACAACAGCTGTTCCCGGATCCCTCCTGTTACAGGCGCAGAGTGGCACACCGTGTGGTTTTAGTCGGTCCGAGTCCGACACACCACCCCGCCGCAAACCCCGGAGGGGTGACGGTCCGAGGGGATTTCCACACGTTAAAAAAAAAAAAAAAAAAAAAAAAAAAAAAAAAAAAAAAAGGGTTTGTTTTATGTTTTCCTTCTCTTTGCAGTGCTATTGTCCTGCGTAGTTTGCTCCCTTAGTCGGCTCTTACGATACCTACGGGATCAATAGGGGTAGTGACCCTCTGTATTCTTAACTAAGTACTATATACTGGACTAATGTAATAAACTTTCTAAGCAAGGAAAACTGTTTCTTCTTAAGTAACACTACCTTTTATTGTATCTATGTACTTGGTTTGGGTAATAAGGAACATGCTATATTTTAAAATTTTAAAGTGCTATATGTAATAGCTTCTAGGAGCTGTTATTGTCCTTTATCTATACTAATAATATCACAAAGCTGGAGCCACTGGTGCAAATTAAACATTTTTTTAGTGTTGGATAGCACCTATCTATTTAATTTTTTTTTTTAAATAACTCTATTATCGTGGAAGGCTATATATCACAACTCTACGATCAATAAGAGTCGAGCAACAATGAAAAATGTTGTAAAAACGTGGAACATTTATTCAATTTGAGAGACGCAGACAAAGTTGCCCGGGTCAGCTAGTGTTTTAATAAAAGCTGTTTCCGGATTCTTCTCCGATATTAGGCACAGTGCCTATACACCTTGTGGCTTTAGTTAGTTCCTTTCCGGGGTAAAACGCATATAAAAAATTGTTCAACTAAAATAATCGAAGCTCGAATTACTCTAGAAAATCTAATTCATTATATCATTTAAAATTAGGCTCTGTGATCATTAGATTTTTTGTGATTATTTCTAACGTTACACAATCCTCATGACCGATTACAAAAATAATAGTATAATGACATACCTACAGTGTTTTCACAAATAGCTAGTATTATATATCTATTACCACTGTAATCATCTCAATCAGATGTTATTTTACGCTCATTAATATATTATAATACTTGAGCAATTTTATAAAATACAAAGTTTTCAACTCAAGACGTATAAATTATGAGTCGTTATTTAATCTTTTTAACTGTATTACTTTTAAACTGGCTTGGCTCTTGGCAAATGGAGAGAAAAAGACAACAGATTAACCTCCCGAGCTACCGAAGACTATAATCCATACTAGTCCTATCCATACTAATATTATACTCGTAAATGCAAAAGTATATCTGTCTGTGTGTCTGTTGTCTCTTCACGCTTAAACCTCTGACCCGATTTAGATAAAATTTGGTATAGAGTTAGTGCCGGGAAAGGACATGGGGTAGTTTTTTATCCCAGAAAAAAGGGGGTGAAAAGGGGGGTAGAATTTTAGATGGGGAACCAATAACCGCTGAACCGATTTAGATAAAAAAAATAGAGATACTTTGATTCTTGAGGAAAGACAGACTACTTTTTACCGCGATAACCGACATTTACGCGGGCGGAGTCGGCAAAAGCTAGTTAAATAATATAGTACTTATTGTTTTAGCGTTGGCGGTAATATGGCCGCTGATGTCTCGTTGCACGGTGGTTGCTAAACGCTCGTTGCAGTACCTCATTCCTTTTGGTACTGCGACTTGGTTGTGGGGAACCGTGTTTATAGACCGAGGGGCACAAACAGCGCGTGATGCACTCAACAAGCAAGTTCAAGCGATTAAGGATCAAAAAGTAAGTGCATTAATGTTAAGTGGGTACTAGAGGTCGCCTGGTGTTCCAAATTGAACTATAATTTTGAATATTTTGTGTTATTTTATTAACCTTTTTGGAAGATAACTCAAGATATTAATTTCTGGTACAAATACAATAGGATTACAGCATTATAATAAAAACCAAGGATTAGCCACACATAGGAACATAACTTTTTATCGCAGTCTTTCCCCATCTCCTTTTCTGTACGAGTATTGAGGGCGTGAAAGCGCAACAAACAAATAGACAAACTATCCAGTCCATCCACTTTCGCAATTATAATATTAAATTAGAAAGTTGGGTATTGTTTAAAAAAAAAAATCAAACTGAATGATTTTTGAATTTGAAAAATTCCTCTGCATGCAAAGTCTTTTCGTGTGTACAAATATATTGACCAAAACAGAACAGAGATAAATTCTTTACGTGGTCATTCATTTAGTCGCTTGTCCGTTGTCGGTCAAGGTTATGTCGAGACCAGGCTTTGTGCTAGACCGTGACCTTAGAATGGATCCAGATACAGGGAACTCGTCTGTCCCGTTGAGAAAATTTTGATATTAAATCGTCATTATTTCGATCGAAAGGCGGTCTGACTTAAATCACGGTCACCGATTCTTCGTACGATGTAACGACAACGTAACAAGGTACTTGTGACAATGTAATTGTACCATAATTTTTTGAAACTTATTTAACTAGTAATGGAAATTATAAAAATGCCAGTAGGTATTTCAAAACATAGTTTCACAGAACAAGGAAATATTATTTTATGAATTCGCAATATTTGAATACACTGTTTTAGATATTCTGTTTGCTTGTATAAATAACAAGGTCTTGTGTATGCGCTTACATTTCGGTTTTGCTATGTCGTATTTATACTGAGTGACCTAATCGCTAGGAACGGCGGATAATTGAGGATACTCATTATAGTGTTTTTACTTAGATTTGTAATTATTTTTCAATTTTTAGTGCTCTTTTTCAGTAAAGTTTGAAGTCGGTTCAACGTTTTTTAAAAGGATTTTTGTTATTAATTAAGTTTTCTTCTCATGTATCTGAGTGAATTTATTATATTTGTTACTAAGAGTTAATGAGCTTAAAATCTAAACCTAATGTGCCGACTTGGGACTTTTAGCCTCTGTTTTTTAGTTTCCTTTCGTAAATTGTAAAAAGTTGTTAGTATGTGTGTAAATGGGTAACTGTAAAAGTATATTTAGAACTCAAAATATATTAAACAAATAATGGGCCCAAGATTTACCACGTCCCACAACATATATATTGTATAATTTTTAACATTAGTGTCGCAATACAACACCATGTTACTAGTAGCTAGCTATCTTAGAGGAAATAAAAATGCTGCGACTCTAACAATTTGTCACGCTGTACGACCTTTATTTGTCATTGTCTATAGCCTACCCTAGTGATGTTACGCGTGACTCACATAATTATGTGCTCGTATATTAATAGTATGCTAATATTATAAAGCTATATAAAGCGTTAGGCTATTGTCTAACTTAGTACAGGGTGGCGCAATAGAACGTGCATATTTAAAATATTGATTAGAAAATAAATACAAAAGGTATAGTTAAAATAAAATTGAGGTATTATTAAGAAATAACTGAAGTTTATTTTTTAAAAATAACATCGTCTAAATGATGACCCTCTCTACGACGACACTCCTCTAATCGCAAACGGAAGTTATTGAAAACTTTCTTCAGTAATGCTGGTGTAATTGCTGCCATTTCACCACGGATATTCTCCTTGAGCTGATCGTTGTTTTTCGGATTATTACTGTAGACTTTGTTCTTGAGGTATCCCCACAAAAAAAAGTCAGGAGGCGTCACGTCTGGACTACGTGGGGGCCATGGGATATCACCTCTTTTCGAAATCAGTCTGCCAGGGAACATCTGTTTCACAACCGCCATGGAGTCATTTGATGTGTGACAGGTAGCTCCGTCTTGTTGAAACCAAGTCCTAGAATTCACTATTCTTGAATTTTCAAGCTCTGGAGCCAAAAAACCTTCCAACATCGCAACATAGCGTTCGGTATTAACAGTGACGTTTTGCCCCCGCGCATTTTCAAAGAAAAACGGTCCAATTATTCCTCTACCAGAGATTGCTGCCCATACTGTCACTTTAGGACTATGCAGTGGTTTCTGGTGCTTGAGTTTGGGATTCTCACTGTTCCAGTAACGACAATTTTGACGGTTTACGAACCCATTGATATGGAAGTGGGCCTCATCTGAGAAAAGGATATTGTCAAAATTGGAAAATCGATTAAGCATTTCATTAGCAAATGCGAGCCTTGCTCCGAAGTCAGACTCTTTCAATTCTTGTGTTAACTGCAGCTTGTAAGGATGCAGTTTAAGATCCAAGTTTAAAATTCGTTGCAAACTTCGTCGCGATAAGTGTAAGACAGACGATCTCTTACGAGTAGACATTTGTGGATCTCCTCGTACAGACTGCATAACTCTCTCAATATTGTCGTCGGTCCTAGATGTTCTTGGACAACCTTTTGCTTGTGGTTTAAACGTTGAACCAGTCTCTTCAAAACGCTGTACCCATATTTTAATTAAATTAGCACTCGGAGCTTTACTAATTTGCCGTAGTCCATATTCAGAACAATATAAACGCCTAGTAACGATGTATGAACGAGAGTTCTCGTAAAATGCGCGCACGCAAAATGCGCGACGCTTCCCGTCGAAGTGACTCATAGTGACTAAAACTCCATGAGCCCGCCTACCCAACGATGCAGGCTCCCCCCGCCCGCGCACTTTCTACCCCGCGAAAAAAGATGATGCAATATGCACGTTCTATTGCGCCACCCTGTATATAGTAAGCCTATTATATATATTGGGATTTTATTGGGACCAGAGATAGGCAAACAACCTGCTTCAAGCCCAGTCTTGGACAAACCTGTAGGTCCAGTGATTAGTGATCCTGACTGCTTACCCAGAGGTCGATGGTTCAATTTCCACTCAGGAAAAGTGCGATGTAGATTATCTATAATATATGTATGTTTATTATATAAAGGTTCCTTAAAAAATATTTTGCAGTGATGTAATAATAATATTGTCTACCTACATGTTGATTTGCTATCTATAATTACATCAAAATTGTGTTCATGATTTCAATTTATGTGTGATCTGTGTGTAACATGTAATACATAGGTTTAATATAACTTGTTACTAATGTTTACATGCTGTGGTCTCCTATAATTGAGGGAGTACACCGGAACATTACTGTGAAGTATATATTGCAAGTCATAACAACTGTATAACTGTGTATACTTTGTTGGAGATCCTTAAATTATATAAATAAAATCAGTCTGGCTTCCAAGGTAAAGGCGCTGCCTGGTTAGGGATTAGACGGTCCTGTAAGCTATTCTTCCCTATCTACCGAAAACTATTTCACCACTAACCTTATTTACCTATCATGGTCGTTTTATACATTAATCTTTATGTTTTTTTACTTTATTTACAGAGAAAGCTCTTGCTCTTCCCTGAAGGCACGAGACATTCCGGTGATCGATTGTTACCTTTTCGTAAAGGCGCTTTTCACGTGGCAATGGACGCCGGGGCACCTATACAACCAGTTGTCGTTTCAAAATACCACTTCCTTGATGCCAAACGTCACAAATTCGGTTCAGGTGCGTAGGGACCTCGCTCCCCATTTTAAAACCGGTATTACCTGTCGTTGGATGCTTTGTGATAGTAAAGCTTGTCGGGACTGTGTTCATATGTTTTTCTGTTGGTATTACGTCAGTCTTACGAAACGTTATCAAACGGATATCCCGAGGCATAACTTGATACAAAACAAACTAGTAGAATATTATGTGTACCTGCCAACCAACATTTTCAACAGCTTTTGTGGCATCACTAAAAAACTCATTATATTTAACTGCATAATTATGTCTAATGTAAATAACTATAACATCATATAATATATCCAATCGTGTCACTTACGTCAATACTTTAAAAAATAATTGTTTTAAAAAACTAAAAAACACGCTTTTTATAGAAAACCAAACTAAAAAATTTAAAATAATTTTTAATACATTTGAAAAAAAGCGTTGGGTGCCTGTTGTCAATAGTAAAAAGCACCCCACGCTTTGTGTTTCTATAAAAAGCGTGTTTTTTAGTTTTTTTAAACTATTTTTAATATATTTTTTTAAATTTGTGTATTTTCGTCGGTCCTCGATATATCTACAAAGTTTGAACGAATTCTGACCATTTAAAGTCAGTCAAAATCACGCCCAAAGGAGTCGGTTACAAACAAACATACAAACATACAAGTGAAGCTAATATAAAGCGTGTAAAAACTTGCGGAACGCTCAACTAATTCCTTCTATTTTGTAAATAAAATATTCTGTGCGGGCACGTTGCAATGAGGCAAGATAGTAGGATCTGATTTCGATTCTTTTTTTTAACATCGCTGTGTTTGTGTGGTGGGTAGCCCTTCTTGCCTTCAAGAAGCTGTTTGCCAGCGTGGTCGTGTCTAAAAGAATCCGGAAACGTCGAAACCGTCTGCTTATTTTGTTTCCACTATACGATCTGCATATCAGGATTGTGGAAATATAGAAGAGCTGAAATTTTAATCAACTGTGACCTAACTAAAATTAGACTTTGAAATTAAAGCCTCTTCTCTAACTAAGCAAAGCCCTTTAAAGGATAGAGATAGAGGCGTCGCCGCCGCTTTCTTTCCAACGAAAAGAAATCCCCTAAAGAAGAAAAACATTTCGATCTACTTTATCAGGGAGTTTGTTACTGTGTACAGTTTTTCGAAATGAAAATCCTTCTCCGTCTTTTTACCTCCACCTATCGTTTAATTTTTTTACGATCGAAAATCTGAAAAATATCCTTTTATACCAACATCGATATAAACTGTACTTTCATTCAAATGAATGGACCGGTTACATCACTAACTGGCGACCGACTGCCTGCAGCCGTATTATGAATATATAATGATATCTAATGCTTCATATTACATTGCTTGGCTAGTTTGTCAACATCGCGTGCAATAAGAACTAAAGCAGCTATAGTAATAGTACAAAACGGGAAGTAATAAATGTATGTTTACAAAGGCATATTAAAGGCTGATGCGTTTTCCCTGATGCGTTTTCACAATCCATTATGCCTTTATTAGTTGAATTACACCTCCCTGATGCGTTTTCACAATCCATTATGCCTTTATTAGTTGAATTACACATCCCTGATGCGTTTTCTCAATCCATCATGCTCCAGTTCACCATTTTAACTATAGTTATATATATATATATATAAATTCACATACGACGCTCCGCGCAACTAAATCACAAATGGTGTGAATTTCTGTGAGTTGTGTTGGTCTACACATCATTGCGGCGACAGGGAAAGCGTCTATGCGGCTTCTAGTGTCTTATTATTACGATTTCTATGGTCATATCCCATTTATCTTTTAATATGTGAACTTAATTAAATTAGTTTACCTACAAATAAACTTAAACACAACGTTATTTTATTACGATTGTTAGTTTCGTTTGTGAAAAACATTTATGGTCATTGACTAATAACAGGAACGATATTTAAACACAAATATGTAAGAATTAGAACTTATGTCAAAACATTTTACGGACAGACAATGGTTAATATACCCACAGAGCAGTACATAATACAAAATAATGAGCTTCATGTTTATTTTATATTCTTTTCAGGAGAATTTATTGTGTCAATTCTGCCAATGATCGAGACTGACGGCATGTCGAAGGATGATATTGGAGCTTTAGTTGAGAAGACACAAATCAGTATGCAGGAAGAGTTCGCTAGAATCTCTTCAGAAACACTAGAGAGACACAATTCTCGGGTTAAGGCTGATTAGATGAGGTACAATAATATTTATAGATTTAAGAAAATCGGGTAGTTTAAATTATTACATAGAAGCTGTATTAGGAATTCTATGGTATCGTGTGTGATAGGTTGATGCCTAGATAATCTTTGTAGGTAGTGTTATCACAAACCCACTTGTTACAAGCATTACTCGTATTGCCTAGTTGGGACTCGGTAACAAGAGTACTAGTGTGCACTATTTATATCAAATCGTAGTCTGAAAAAGGGGCACTAGAAGGTACATGTCATAGTTATTTCTTTTTTATAAATGTACATACGGTAATGTACAAATTCATATCGTCGTGGAAAGAGCTGTGATAATTAAAACATAATAATAATAGTAGCTAAATTTAGAATGACAGTTGCTGGAGTTGGTGTTCTTGTTTTTAATAATGATGTGTATTTATATAATAAAATTAATAAATATGTGGAGATGTTTCATTAAAATACGTTTACCCTGTGATTTCTTTTATTAAAAGATTTCACATACGAAAATATGTAAAAATATACATTTCAACGTTTTTTTTTTCTACACACAAATATAATGTTTAATAAAATTATTCTAATAGTGTTAAGAAGGTACATCCCAATACTAACTGCTATACAAGTGATAAATTGATCTTAGCCTTAGGTTTTTAATTGAAAATAGGTATGGACTACAGCATACTCGAAATTATTTTTTTAAATAAATAGATGATTAATGTCAAGCTACCTTAGATACAGATGATAATAATCGGTTCTAAATTTAGCTTAAGAAGGAAGTTGGAAAACAGACTAATATTGCAATTTCCGACATTGAGAAAGATAAACACTGGTAAGTACTAGGCACTGTAAGTACGTGACCTACTTGTACTCTTATCTTTCTTTAACCTATGTGAGGTCAATGCGTGACGTCATTATGCGTTGTCTATACGATGGTAGGTAATATTCACACAAGTTCCTGATAGTTAAATTTATTAATATGTTTTTATATTTAACATCGTGAATGAAGCGAGTTATGACATCATTAAGAAAAGGATGCAAGAATTTATAAAAAAGTATCCAGGTATAGACATGATTTCTGGAGATTTATATTATAGCATTCGGGTGTGGTTAGATAAATAACGCTCAACAAAGTCATTCATTACATTGAGAGTTATAATGTATCTACTACGGTAGTAATATTAGTTCATTCATCAGTCAGTTCAGACAGCTCAGACAATATTTCACAATTAAGTAAGCGGCTATATTGGAAGATAATGGTTGGAAACCAGTTTTCCAAACAGAATCGAAACCTGGTTTCCAATAAAGAAAAATAATTTTGTTTTCGAAACTGGTTACCAACACAGACTGTTGGATCTTCTTTTGAAACTCTTTCAATATATTTACAAAGTACTACACTCCTTGATTAGAGAGAATTTTCTGGCTGAAGTAGCTAGGAGATTCCAGCTACACCAGCTCTTTTTGTAGAAATGCATTCTTTTACTGTATTCATTTTAACACAATTTCAGAAAGTAAGTAACCACAGATTGTACTAAATATAATAAAAAAAAACAATTTCAAATTCAATTCATTTAGGATTAAATAATCAATACTTGATTTCTATAATTACTGATAGGACAATGACTCTTGTCGTTGTTACACACACATAAGAAACTTGTAAGTCACGAGCAAATTATTTCTAATCAAGGATTGTAGGTAAGTTGGAAAAGTTTCGAAAGAAGATCCAACCTTCGGAGTTGGTAACCAGATTCGAAAACAGAATTATTTTTCTTTATTGGAAACCAGGTTTCAATTAAAAAGAAATAATTCTGTTTTGGAAACTGGTTTCCAACCATTAGTTTTCAATATGGCTGAAAGGTTCATAATTTGCCATCGTACCTAGTATAAAGGCATTATAGGCAAATGTTGAAGATAAGAAACAACCTTAGTACAAGTACTTGTATATTTATGAATTACACTCCTCAGGCAGTCTGGCGGAAGTCATATTTTTTATATTGCTATGCTGCGATTTAGTGCCTTTACCGGTATAAAATGTTAAGTACACAGTATGAACCTATGAACGAGCTAATGCATGTTGAAGGCGTCGATCGAAAATAAAGTCCTTGCGATTTAGCATGTGTCGTTGTTACAAGTTAACGGAAAATATGACAGTTAACGAAAAATATGACTTTTTAGGCGTTTAGTTTCCCTTCAGCCGCCATCGAAACCGATGGTTCGTAATCGTAACCGTCGAGGAGGAAAAAATGATCTTTGTACGAAACTAGCTTCGAATCAGGATGTTCTTTACTTTTTACGAAACCACGGTTACGTACAAGAAATTTATTTTTAATAGTTTAATTTAAAATCGTTTATCTATGGTACAAATTTACAAAATTTTAATAAAAATTCACTCAGAATAACTTTTCATATCAATTCAATATTGATATGAAAAGTTATTTTCTGTGAGTAAGATAATAATCTAAGAAATTATGCGTGATCAACGCATTATGTACTGTAGGTACATACGGGCAGATATAGTACGCTTAAAGATAATGTGGGGCCTACTTCTAATCCTTTTAAATCGCGATAACGCCTACACTGAATTAACCAAAGTCTACCAGATTAGTCTTATCTGTTTTATTTTTATAGATAACATACAAGTATTAGAGCCATAATGGCGAGGTCATACGGGGTTTGAATAATAAAATTGAGCAACAGGTATAACCTTAACAGTTTGTAACATTTTTATCTAATGGGTTTAGACATTTTAAGCAAAGTCGAGGAGTGAATTAAATTATAAGAAATTCAAATTACTTTTATGTAACGTTTTTATATTTCGGATTAGAAGAAACTTGCGTGTTAATAAAATATTACTAAGATTATACATACGAGTGTTTTTTTATGTTTTCACGCCTTAACTATTTAACCGATCATCAATACAAGTAGATAGATAGATAGATAGATAGAACTCTTTATTTGTACACCATTAATTTAAGTAATGTAAATAAATTTAAGAGTCTGTTCGTAATGTCAAAATAATTTCATGCTCACACGGTTATTTGAAAGATACCCGTTTAAATAATTTTTGTCTCTGTCTGTTTGTTTAGGGTAATCTTCAAAACGGCTGGACCAATATTGATAATATTTTACTACCAGGTATCTGTACTTAAGGAGTAACTTTCTTCTCAGGAAAACGCCACAAAAAATTGCCGGGTGCGGGAATCGAACCCGAGGCCTTAATAACATTTCAATTCAAATTCCATGCGAACGAAGTCGCAAGTCGCAGTAGTCATGTATAAAATTAAAATTGGGAAACGGGTTTAGATGTATTCTGTAGGATTACTGACAAGGACACAGGGTATTATCTAGACAAGTCTTGTTCTTTAAGGGTAGATTGACTGAGAATATCTACATTAAAGCACTGTTAATCGTTGTATGATTATGTTTGAAGATATCTCACATTATACCTACGATATTTATAGCAAAATACGTAGTTTTCTAATAAGAAACATCTGTTTATATCAACTTAAACAATAAATAACTAAAATAATGGAATGCTTAACTATAAAAGGCCTGAGGTGTTATAACTAAAATCATTAAGTTTAATGTTGTTTCATTGTATGATATTACGTACTTTTCGCGAATGTCTATGTTAATAATCGCTACACATTCAGATAAGTATATTAAATGAATAATCGCATCTACAGTGGGTGCATACTTGATTAAAAAAGAAATAATATCATCAGGCTAGACATTAGTAAAATCTACCGTGTGAGAGGTATCTACTTATAGTGTTGTTATATCAAAATCTGAGATTTCCATCATGTTATTTGTATATGTATTCATACAAATCGTCAAATATAAATTACATCTTACCCTAACAGTTAAAACAATGTTATTTGCAACTGGTTACAAATATGTGTGAAGTGCAATTTTTTATTAGGTCAAAAACTGCATAGCATTGCAACTAAAGTTTAAAAATAATTATCTAATATTTATGATAAAATTTAAGCAATATTTGTCTGTTTGTCTGGTACATAAAACATCTGATAATACTTTGATATACCTAGCTATTTGTACTGGGAATTTCAGAATTTTTAATGGTTAGGGGAACGCAGGGTAATGAGAGCGGTCGGGCAATGGTAGCTATGGTGATTGAACGGAACCCATGAACATTCGCGCGATCGTAAGCACTTGGCTGCTTCCGTCAACTATCGACAAACTACGCCTGACGCGCTCGAACTGCTAGTGTCATTCGTTTGGTCACGAGGGACGATTGCGTGTTTTTTGCTCCACGCTTACAAAAAATTGACAATTGCCAGGATCAAGGTAAGCATGAAATTGTATTCTTATTTTATTGTATTTATGCTTATTATATCCCTAGATTAATTTACTAACAGGTCCAATTAGTTGTATTGTGATTGAAAGTAGAATTACATATTTATGTTGTTACTTTTCAAAATTGTGGTTAACGGCTAATGGTAGCCTAGCTTGGCTCTCATTACGTTTATGAGACATAAAATACCTTATTTTTTGTTTTAGATGTCACGTAAAAGGAATCGAACAACCACAAAAAACATACCAAGAAAGAAACCAAAGACATTAAAAGTAATTATATAATTAAAAGTTTGTGTGCAATTTGTTTAGACACTGAAAAAGTGGAGAGATGTGGTACAGATGCAGAAGTTGCGGAAACTGAGCCCATAAAGAGTGTTCTGGCAGTGATAGTCCAGATTCCTATATTTGTTTGAATCTCTAAAGTCTGGATATTTTGTTTTTCATTAATAATTACATATTTACTTCTCCGTTTTGTTGGAAAAAAATATTTTTAAATTGGTGTTACAAATACTTTTATTGTATTGATTATTATAATAACTAAGATCTCATTTACTTAAAGTACGTTTTGTTAATTTTTTTGTATAAGAGTAATTATAATGGCTCCCATTTCCCGTGTGAGCGTTAAATGGGCTCTCATTAGCCGCATTTGTCGGGTAATAGGAGCCCCTGACTTTTTTTGTAAATCTATGATTGTACCTTAATACATGTCTGTAGTTGATTATAACTGTGATTAAAGTATTCTTTAATAATAAAGGTAAGAGTTAATAATTAAAAATTACAAGAATTTTGACAAACATGGTTTTTATCAAAACTTTCCCTTAGTAGGCTCCCATTGCCCTGTTCTCCCCTACTTACACAACCACATTCAAGCTATACAGGGTCTGCATTAGCTATTGAACGTTTTCTTCTTGCTTAGATAGTCTATAGAATTTAAATATAACTAAAGCCAAAAAAAAAACTGTCCACGAAAAGGATTACACTGAATTTACGTATTAAAAAGGACGTATGTTCACAATTTACACATTGGGCTCTTGTCTATTAACTAATTTAAATATTTAAGATTACACATAATAAGGTTTTTAAAAGCTTTAAGGTCATAGTCATAGCATGGTCATTAGAGCCGCCCGGCACTCGACCTTAATTATTTTTTTGTAATAAAAATATTAAGAAATGTGATGTGCCACAATACAATTTTAATCGAACAAGACAGTCTTCAATTACACAGCAATATTCTTTAAATATTCTCTCTGCCACGATAAATTAGCATAGCACAATTGCTAAAGGTTTCACGCAGAACTATATACATATGAATAATAATTTCACGACATGAAAAGCATAATATGGGTTATTCAAAGATCTATGGAATGGAGGCAAAAAATAAAAAAAAAGATTTATAAATAAAAATGTGTAAAAAGCCTATTTATTAAAAAATAAATGGTACAAGTAGTTAATGATATTTTTACAATACTCGTTATTTCATAGAATATTGGCGAGAGGCCAGCTATTTCCAGGTGAATTAACTACTACCATGATACTTACAGTGATTAATTGAAAAAAAAGCAATTGAGCAATTGTTATATATATATACATCCAACGATTTTCATGAAATTTAGTATGCAGGGGGTTTCGGGGGCGATTAATCGATCTAGCTAAGGTATGAAAAAATCAAACTTCTAAGTTACCGTAAAAAAATATATACGGCTCTTTATGCCGCTAAAACGCATACTTCGACACTCTCAAGAGAATCAAAATTCATAGGGTACTTTCCGTTGACCTAGAACTATGAAATTTGGTAAGTAACAACGTCTTATAGTTAAGTACAGGGAAATCTGCAAACTTTACAATTGTAATTAAATCACAAAAATATAGTCTTTATTGAAAGTACGTAATCAATCATCGAGGTACAATTTCGCTTATAAAACACAATAATATAAATAATTACCAATAGATTTTGGAAACTGGATTCTGAAAAAGCTCTGAAAAACTGTTAGACGTATAAAATTACTGTGATGCTGTTTGTTAGTTGGATAACTTAAAAGTCAAAGCCATAGGAATAGGAATAACATAATATGTGAGGTCCTTTTAGTTACCGAATGGTTAATAGGCAACGCATGCAATAATAGTAACGCAATGACTCTTATAGCGATGTTTATAGGTTATTCTTCAGAAGATGTGCTTTTTTGTCCCCATCCGGAATCATTAAAGTTCATAAATTATTAAAATAAAGCAGTTCAGACAGTGAAAAAAAAATGTGATCCAGCGATATAATTACAGTAACGTGACAATTGTATACGAAATACACTCTTTAAGTGACAAGAAACTAGCAACACATTGTATATTTGTGTCAGAATTGCGCATACATTGATTACAATATGATTCCTACACTAAAATGAGATATATATTATTAAATTACATTGATAGTAAGTTGGTATATACGTAATTAAATTATAAATGACATTTTATTAAACTTTTTAATACCAGTAGGTAAATACATTTTGTAAAGAGCTCTACATTCAAATGTAAATTATTATGTCTGTAATTTTTCATTATTTCCAAACAGATAATTTCTTTGGTAAATTGTTTCTGTTGTAGACAAAGAAATACACAAAAACTAAATAAAGTTATCTTTGGTGGGTCCAAACGTCTGCACAACCTTCATAATGGCAATCACAAAATACATTTCAAAATTACGATTGTAAAAATTCTACTTCACAATATCATAAAAAATATTATTATGATCAAAAGTTTTTGAAAAATATAATTATTAATTATTTTATTTCTAAATAAAGCGAACTTTATTTTTTCACTTAAGTGAAGAGAATAAAATTGCTAACTACAATCATAGAAACAAAAGTATAAATTATTTCTTTATTAATTGCATTCATAAAAATGTATATTCTTGTGTACCAACGATAAACATACCACTGGTACAAACTGTCTCGGTTACATTTAATTAACTACGGCGAGTTGATACTAGCCGTGATTAACAAAATATAACCGAAATAGTTTAAACAAGGTATTTGTTTTAACAAATTTCATACAATATATGAAAAAAAAAACAAAAAATGTATAAATACTTCAAAATACTATTATTATTTCATTACACGAAGAATACATTCAGAATAATTTTTATTTCAATACATTGCAATGGGTAAAACCTGGTCCCATTATAATAAAATGGCACATTTATTTTGAAAAACAAGCATTAGTCTTTTCACTTGTTTTTATCAACAACTCTACTTCTCTACAATAAAAGTTACCATCGTCCAAGTAACTTTTATTGTAGCTTCGTGGGTTCACTCTATTTTACATTATATTTGATATAGTAATATGTCTAAAGCTCATGGATTACTAACATAAACTATTTATGTTGATTATAAAGCGGCAATACTTCTTATTACGACACACCAATCATCCTACAAAATATTTCTTTGTGATGACAGTTTAGCAATAAAGTAAATTTTGTGTAAATTCCTTCACGGCGCAATTTAAGGCGATCAAAACGTTTCCAGAATTTATATTGAGCGATAATGGTTAGTATATTATCACAATCGTGGTGTATTACAAAACCATTTACGTAAAGCGTAGGCCGACTTTACTTTTAAGTCGTTACATGACTAGAGTAAATTAAAATACTATAATAGAGGAACGTATTACTTAACGCAGTTACATGAATATGCAATAACCTTTTAACGACGCATCTGTAAATATCTACGAAATAATATTGATGAGGCATCAGATGTTAATAAACAAAGTGCGGAACTTTACCTGCGACTATTTATGGTATAGGTATTTTTAAAATTATATTGCTAACAATTCGAAGATATTTCTAAAAGCGTTGTTAATTGATTAATAAATGACATGTTTAGGATTAAAATAATACTGATTGAATATTGGTGAATGGAATTTGAATTATTAATACATGATATCCAGTTCAGTTAAAAGTCAAAGCCGGTGATAATTCCTTATAAATGGTTAAATAAAAAAATTGATTAATTTTATTTCTCCTATAAGGTACGACATGGCACTATTATTATATTTAGCATAGATTTGGCAGATTTTCTTATAATTAACATGTCTAATTGGACCAAAAATAAAAATGTATTTTCGACTTTCTATAGAACGACAGCTTACATCAATTTATTTTAAAAGAGATTCAATGAAAATTACATTTATTACGTTGTTTTACTATTTAAGTTAAAATATAAACAACAATATTAGGTGCATATTGATATAGTTTCAACAAACAATGCTATGATCATAATACATTTAAAAATACTGAAATGGTATATGGCTTTAGTTAATACATGTGTGATGTTGCTCAATAATTAACATTCTGTGATGTAGCAGCAACAAAGTAGGTTGGAGACACATCCTGAATACAAAAATAACAACAAGTAATAAATCAAAGGTACCTCTGAGTCCTCTTGCATTGAAATTCGTATCGTGACTATTAATTAATTACAGCATGTTGCAAATATTTCTTTTGGTACCTTACTATTTCTCATGATATTTTTACATTTAATTTATGTTTTCTTAGTAACAAACTCAATCGGGGATCTAAGCGTAGGTGCATTAAAAATAAAGAAATGTATATAACTAATACAAATATAACAAAAAAAATACTTCGTTGAACATTATACAAATAATATACTTCAGTAATTCTGTGCAGTCTAACATAACTTAGTATTTTCATTTATAATATTGAGTTAAATGAAAAAATAAGTCACTACACACTAGAAAATTAAGTGATCACAAGTGTGCCTTAAAATTATAGATTGGACAAGATTCAAAATTTATAGTATAAATCACAGAACTTATATTTTATGCGATTGGAATGAACGCTAAATACTAGAAAAAAATCATGAACCAGCATTATTATGCTGAAGACGAAGATCTTATTTTACGAGTAATTACAAAGTTAATAGTTGTTCATTCAAGGGCTTATGACGTCTTCAGTCCTCGACAGCGAGGGGATAATTCGGTGGTAAAGCACTAAGCACCTCCTTTGATAGCTCTTTATAGGCAGCATCCATAGTATTGCGTACTTTGATTATCAGATCCGGTACATCATCCATAGTAAGTCCCATGGTTGGAACAGGCTCTAAGCACTGGATAATAGAGTGACCTGTTGAAAGATAAATGGTGATTAGAATATTGAATCGCTACTTAAGATTCATGTACAATTATTTCTTCTATGTAAACTTTTTGATACCATGAGCATTTTCTTCATAGTTATGTGTATGACACCAACAACTAACTAAACATTTTTCAAATCTTGATCCAGTGCTGATCCAATAATCTATGTGATTAAATAGGTTTTAAAAAAGTTTAAGATTATTATAAATCATCTAAGTTTAGTTGCAGAATCTTACTAATATTATATAGGCGAAAGTTTGTATGGATGTTTGTTACTCTTTCATGCAAAAAAGGCTGAACGGATTTGAATTAAATTTAGCACAGAGATAGGTTATGGTCCGTTATATCCCAAAAAATGTAGTGTTCGGGCTGATATTCAAACAACTTCTCGAAGTTTAATGTAGAACTAGTATAATTCTGAACTAACAATAGTATATAGGTGCCGAGTCACAAAGCGTACATATCGAACGGCGCTCCAAGCAGAGAGCGCCGTTTGCTCACCCTAGTTAAACATGTAGTTACTTATATGTACAACCACTGGATGCAGTTAGATATATATAAAATCAAGTTAAATTACTTTAACTAATTAAGATATAGCTTTACAATATTTATAGTTTAAAAAAAAAAAAACAATAATCATGCACGTAAAAGTAAACTAAAATAATATAAATTTGTAAAATTATTGATGGGGTTGGTAACTAACTTAGGTTAAAAGTTGACTTTTACATAATACATCAGAAATATGACTTTTATACTCCAATAAAAGTAAAATAACAATTTCTGTTAGTTGTTTTTTTTTATTATGGGGTATGTGTATTTATTGACAACAGAAATTTTAACCATTAAGTCATGTATCATGAGTTTAGGTGATTTTTGGTCACACTAAGTAGGATGTTTATATTATAAGCTAACATGAAAGCATAGTAATTTGAGCTGTCTGTTGATATACGACTGCACGGATGGCGTAGTGGTTTAAGCGGTCGCTACGCCGTTCACTACTGCGCTGAGTGTTGTGGGTCCGATCAACACATGGGACGACACTTTGTTGCTATGAGTTTGGGTGTTCTTTGTGAGCATTTCATGTATGTTTGTCAATACAGGATATATTCCTAATGCGGGAGTTGTCTTTATTTAAAAGAAAAAAAGACAAGAAAAGAAATATTGTAATTTATGTGTTCCTGTGTAACAAAAGCCTTTGGATTTAAATCCAGGTTTTTAGAACAATTCATGACAATAAGCTTATAATTAAAATCTTAACAAAGTAAAGGGGCTTGCATATATGTATTAGTAATAAGATAGGTTAATTCCTAATTAATATAGAAGGTTAACATTAGTATAAAAGTAATGTGTACTCTACCTTTATTAAAAATATACTTCTTGCTATTAATGAAGTAATAGGGTGAGAACACAACGGGTATTATTGGGACTTGAGCAGCAACTGCAATATTGAATGCACCTTTTTTGAAAGGAAGTAGTTTTGTAAAGTCTTTATTTCTAGTCCCCTCAGGAAACAACCAAATTTTTGTCTGTAATTCGAAAAATACACTATTATTAGAGCAGCTTAAAAAAAACATGGAATGTTAGAAATTATCTACAAATGTAAAATGTAGTAATCTAATAAGTAGTGTCACTCTTTGGTAAACCATATTAAATACAGGTCAAATTCAAACAAGGTAAAATTGAACACACAGATCCTGTTAGTGTAAAACACCAAGAAGAATTTGAAGTTCAAAAGATAAGTTTATCATTTGTTCACAATATTATTACAAGACAGAATAATGTACCACCACATATAATGTGAAGAGAAAGTCTTTGCTTGTTTTTTAAAACAAACATGAAACATAACATTATGTGCTATACATAGCATAAAGCTATAAGGTGTCCAGTAATACATTTCAACCTGTCATGGTTCTAGTTACACTGCCAAAATTCGACCACCTAGACTTTTACATAGGTACTAAATAAAAACAGTAACAACTAAAGCTAGTAAGTGCGTGCTGTAAAACTATGGACAATATTTGTATTAAATATTATGTTTATAGTACTCATGATTTCCCATATACTCTATAAGCTTTTACTTTCTAAATTTATATCATAACTTTTTGATTTAGGATAAAAACGACTTCTCGAATTAAATAATTTTAAAAAATTTTTTTTATTTGTTATAACTTAAAAAATAAAATATTTTAGAGTGTCACATGTATATTTAATTTATGATTTTATTTTTAAGTTTATAACATCACATCATCATCATCATCAACAGCCTTTACTAGTCCACTGCAGGACATAGCCCTCCCCTTAGCAAGGAGGTAACATAGCCAACAAAAAGAGTATTATATTCAAAATCTATTTATATAATACACATCTGTGGTTTGTCACAGGAATTGAAATGTAAAATTTTAACTCAAACCAGCAAATTTCACATGTCAGACATCAAGATTGATTTAACTTAACTGTGGACTTCTATATTGTGTATTTTTTTACTTATTTATACTCTATGAAGCGTTTCAGTACTATAAAGGCACACAATGTAATATAGCAAAATTAACAACCAACCTTATTTTTAATCATTACTTCAGAAGTGACCTTGAGTTGTTTATATGCATCTTTTGAATTATTTCTATCAATAAACACCACTCCTGCAAGGTATGCAGCCAGACCAAATGGCCACACATAAAATATTTCTTTTCGTGCAATAGCAGCCACTTTATCAGCTACATGCCAGATATTGAACATTCCTGAAATTAGAACTTAAATGTAGATATTCAAGTGACGAAATTCAGACAGTTATATGTGACAAACAATGAGAATAATAATACCACTATAAATAGGTAAAAAATTTTTTTTTATGAATATTAATTAAAAGTTCATATAGTTGACATACATGTAGTTGTATGTAGTTCATACTATAAATTACATACATCTATGTTAAGGTAGTGTTGAAGAATTCAGTCCCTTTTTTATCTCAAGTGGCAAATATTCTTAAGTATCATAAAATTATATTGTTTAAAAGTGTATTATTGAATGCATTATCTGGGACAATGCTTCAATTTAGTTTTTTTTAAGCAATAACCAATTTTTATGAATATTATTGTAATGGTACTTGACTGAATTGGTAGGGCAAACCTAAGAACATGGGTTTTAAATTAATATGCAACATTGCAGTTAATGTTTGATTTTCCTGATGTTACAATTGGCAATTGACCTTAGTTTAATTAAGTGTGCTCATTGGTCACTGTGGTACATGTTAAGATAATAAAGACTAACATTGTCTGATTTAAGAGGCACAGCCTTAAGAAACGCACAAACAAGCACTTACTATTAAAAAAAAGAACCTACTTTAATAAATGACACTTAAAAAAAATTTTGTTGCTTAATGAATCAGTCTACATTTATACTACTTGAAAGTTATAAAATATTTTTTTATTTTCGAGAAAAAAAACCTTAACTTTGATCAAAATCATCAAAATCGACCTTTGCAATTTTGAATATCTCTGATATTTTGTTCTTCTATTTGATGTTTTAGTTGAAAAAAAAGTATTATACAGTCACCGTTATATTTCCGTTAAACCCCGCGAAAAAAGATTCCCGTCCATACATTTTAGTACGTAGAAATTGTCGCCCGTAACATGCAATAAATTAGAGTATAGAGTGCGCAAAAACTTCAGTGCCCCTGAATATTCAAAGTGACAGCGGTCAAAGGTTTGGACAAGCGTATATATATATATATATATATATATATATATATATATATATATATATATATATATATAATATATAATACTGCTAATTTATATTCTTGGAGCAAAATTTAGAGGAACTAGGTATGTGAGTTTTATTTTGTATTTTTTTAAGAAATAATATCAAACACAAATGTTCTCTTTAAAATCACAACTTATTTATAAACCTATTTCAGGTAGATATGAAAAAAAAACAATGAAAATAATTATAAACAAAAACATAAAGGAAGATGTAAAACAAAGCAGTAAGTATCCATAATGCAATCACTTTTATACCGCACTGTGCAAAGCCTAAAAAGATGGCTACTGATTCAACAGCTTTGACATAGTAACACAAACACCTTCAAAATGACTTTATTAGAAATGAATGAGTTACTTCAAAACGCATTGTACAAAGACATTTCTTTGACAGGCCTATTGGTCTAGTGGTTAGTGAACCTGACAGCTAAGTTAGAGGTAGTGGGTTCGATTCCCACCCAGTACAAACATTGTGTGATGAGCACAAGCATTTGTTCTGTGTCTTGGTGTAATTTTTCTATAATATGTATGTATTAGTAAATATATGTATGTTTGTCAGCAGATTGGTTACCATAGTATAGGCGCTGCCTAGTTTGGGACCAGACTGCCATGTGTGAGAAGTATTTTTATTATTATATTTCCAAATAAATACCTCAATAATGATTGTTTCAGGAGAATAGAAGTTTAAATACAAGATAGTCAGAAAAATGAAGGTTAGAGAGCCTATTTACTTGATGGAGGCTATTAAAAAAAGAGAAGCTATATCATAATGATCTACCCTTTGGAATTAGTTTTCTATAGGTATACATTTATTTTGCTAAATATTTGACAAATTGCTGTATTTACCCTTTTTTTTTTAATAAATAAATGAGAAATAAAATATCATCTAAAAAACCCACATTGCCCATATTGCACAGAATATAATCTTAACAATTTCTCAGATATCCCATAAAACTAATAATAGTGACATAATATCCACAAAGTGTATACTTGGACCACATCCTTTGTAGCCAGTTAGTACGGGCCTACGCACTATTCCTTAGGCACTACAGGCCCGGTATACTGTGTCTTTTTTGTGACATTCATAAACAATCTATAAAGACGAAGAGGTGATGAATATCTACCTCATTCGAAAAACTACAAGTAGATTTGTAGTCCAGAAAAAAAGGGTAGTATACTAATAGTTCTCGTTGCATCTGTGTGCATTTAAAATATTAATGTGGGTATTCAATCGCGATTTCTCAAGCTGGGGGACTAGTCTTAACATTCCATCTGAAGAAAAACTTACATAATTACAGAACATACACCTACCTAGAATGTCTATGGATGATTGATGATTTGAAACAACAACAGCTCCTCGGTCCTCTGCTAATACTTTCCCATTTCTTAAGATCCATTTTATTTCTATAACTTTGGTAACATGTTTTACTATTTGAGATCCGAACCTGCAATAAGTTAATGAATATATTTAGTTAGATACAAGAGCGGATCCAAGTGTGAACGTCATGAATCCGTGTGGTGACGCATTAAGAATACAGAGTGTTACTACCCCTATTCATCCTGAGGGTGTCCTAAGAGACAACTAAGGGAGTAAACTACGCAGGGCCACAGCACTGCAAAGAGAAAGAAAACTTGACACAAACCTTATACCAACCCGTCTGGCCAGCATGGTATAGTAGGCCACAACTCTTCTTTCTAAGGAGAGGCCTATGTCCAGCAGTAGACTAGGACAGGATGATGATGATGAGCGTCATGGGGGTCATGACCTCCTGGGCCCAGTCTAGTTTTATTTTAAGTAGATGGATCAAATGGAACTTGATGTAAGTCCTGATTCCATAAAAAATTACCTCCTAGGGTTAATGATGAATCCGCTCCTAGTTAGATGACGCAGAGGTCAGGGAGCGATTCACTTTTAACGCAAGGAGGTATATCTATGCATAAACGAAAAACTACTATATTCTCCAATAAAATGATAGGTTGAGACAAGTAAATAACGAATTGGATATTCGTGGATCGATTGGGACTTCGGGTAATCTATTCTGAAATGAAAGTGAATCGCCGGTATTTTAACAGTTTTGGTGACATGTCTTTCGTATAAGCGGGTGCAAATATTACGTATCGAGTTACTTACAGAGAATTCTTAACATTTTTCGGGTTAAACACGAAAAATGGTAACAACATCACTGCCGTTACAGAAGTCCAGATATAGAAGAGAAGAAACTTCGATTTAAATTTTACAAAATTTGGTGTTTCCGAAAACAATTGTTTTAAAACATACGTCACGCAGATAATAACCACTATATAAATCACTTTGTCCAACATTTTAATATATCATGCACAGACTCACTAAGTAACACTAAAGCCCTTGGACATCAAAAAACAAACATAAACACAAAATCACAAACTCAAAGAATGCGTTTCTATATCGCAACCAATCATGAGAAACGAAATACTGAACAAGAAGAAAGCGTTCCAACAGCCGTACCTTTATCCTCTCAATTACACCTTGAGCATGTATGGTGCAGTAATGCTAATACTCTGGAAGACAAAGACAAAATATATTTGAGTGTGTGTCAGAATAGAGGAAAGAATTATGAGAATCTTGAAGTAAGTATTATGAGACACAATTTGTCCAGGAGCGAATTAATTGATTTGAGTGTAAAATGGTGAGTAAATTGGTTTTCACCCTGAATGATAGTTTCTCGTTTATTTGGTAGTAGAAGCGAGGTAGGGAAGTCGCCATTGCTGCTTCATGCCAGCCACCCTTGCTAATATTACAATATTGGCATTAGCGCGGATGGCAATAAAAAAGTTTATGCTTAAAACAAAACATTGCAACAGCATTGATTTTCTTATCATGTTTCTTCTTGCATACCGAAATCTTGTTGCTATATCAAATACATCAGAGTTAGTGCCAACATACCGTCATAAGCCGTCAGACGTGCGGTCAAAAACAGGTTTTGACTTTACACGACGGTTAGCAGGACACTGTTTTCTGAGTTTCCCTTTTCTAGGTACTCTTCTCTCAATTCTTTTGTCATGTTTTCCGTTCCTTGTAACTATACTACCCAGATAACAACTCTTTCGTTCCTAATATTTACCTCACAAAGAATCATCTCTTCATCCTTTTCGAACACCATCACGTTGTTTTACTTGCAAGTGTATTATTCATGATTCTTATCGTGTCCTGTAACTCATTAGCGTGAGATGCAGGTAAGACTTTACACATTCGTTATGTAACTGGCCTATACTCAACCCGCGCCTGACACAAACAAGTCCGTATAGACACCATTTCTTCTGATACAAGCTTTGGAGTCCATATAGAGTGACTTCAAAACCCGTATCAAACGTCATCCATCCACACCATACTCTTCACTCTATTATGATAGCTTATGAGCTTTCTCAAGGTTTCAAAAGGTACAAAACGTTTTTGTTTCACTTGTTTTAGTCAAAAACTTTTTCAGAGATGCACCTTAGGAAGACTTGATCCGTACACCCCATTCCTCTTATGAATCTCGCTTGTACATTCTATATGAGATTCTATAATATACACTACTTTAATCTAACATACATCTTGCCGAACACACTTAGAAGACTGACACCATGGGAGTTTTCGCATTCCTGTTGTAATCGCTTCCCGTTGTCCCTTTGCAAATTTTCATAGCCGTTAATTACTCTTAGATTTTGTACGTTAGGACTCCTTGATCTCAAGATGGGAAATCGATGACCAGAATTTCGTGAAAGAAAAATCGTCTGCAGTTTTTCTGGACCGATTGAACCTTCGAACCTTCACGAAAAGAGCCCACTATGGGCGGTGGTAGTCACTTACTACCCGGTTATCCTCCAGCAGTGCTATTCTCTAGTTCTTAGTTGGAAATTGGAAGCTGTGACAGCACTGTAGTGTCTAATTTCAAACGAACTTAGTTTGAAGCTCGACGCTGTGGCAGCGCTGCACGCAAGGCTGTTTCCTTAGAGAATAGCACTGCTGCACAGATCTTAACAAACAAGTTGTGGTGCGTGAACTGGATGGGTAGACCATCTAGTTGTTATCTGATACCAAAAAGAAGATTATGTAATTTTTCTTCTTGTCTTCCACCAATGCTTACCAAGACGGGTAGATAGATAGATAGATAGATAAATACTTTATATGTACACCAGGGTTTTACAGACGTTATAAAGTAATTAACAACAGATGTAATGTACAAATGGCGGCCTTATCGCTTAGTGCAATGCAATTTCACAAATGAAGAAAGCGACAGGAAAGAGGTAGAATAATGTTGCTTGTTTCTCACAGTTTTTCATTACGAGCCACTAGTGTTTTATAACTTCTATTATGGGATTAAGCTATCAAGTAGACAGGAGTGGTTTTGAAGCTGTACACTGTGGTGTAAATCTCCATACACACAATAATTTTTTATAGTGTACTAGCGACCCGCCCCGGCTTCGCACGGGTGCAATGTAAATATTACATTATTATACTAAATATCTTCATATACAGCAACTTTTTCATGAGACAATTCATATGTGTTTTCTTTAGATATTTACTCTGGCAACCACAGCACCCGCCGACAGCTTGCACCCTAGTGGGGTGGTTATGGCTAAAGGCCGCGCGCTCCGCAGCGAATTGGCGGCTCGCACCCGGGACATACGATCTGAAGGCCGCTCCGATATCTTCTTAGATATTTAAGATTATTTATTTCAATGACATGCTGTAAAAGGCAGTTTTAATCTACATGAAATGAACAACATATATAATATATTTAATGAGAGGAATAATAAGACTATTGTTTAAATTTGCGATAACACATTATTCTTTTGTAAAATGTAAGAGATCAAAAAGGTTACTGATGGTTACCCTTAGGAGATAGATATATACTATGCCGAACTTTTTTTGTAGATATTTTTAAAATATACCATTTCGTAGCTCATGATTTTGATATATCTAGCTAGCGTTTGCAATGTAAGCACCCAAAATATTATTTTTACGACATCATAATATAAATTTTAGCTTTTCTCTACTATAATGTGTATGTATTATGAAACCGTCCTCTTGCATCCATGTTTTTATTGATGAAAACCGGATTAAAATCCGATGTGTAGTTTGGAAGAACTAAGCGTACAGGGGCGGTTTACTATGTAAAGATACTCGTATGCACTGTTCCATAGCGGTTTGCAATATTCCGTCAATTTTCACTTTGTTTTTACCATCATAACTTCAAAACGAATTGAACAATTCAAAAAGTAATTTGCACCCAAATATATATATTAAATTTATTTTGGTTTATTTAGATAAGGATTCGCCGGCTCCTTCTAGCTATAAAGTCCGACTTGTAAAAATATCTGAAAAGATTTACTTACAGAAATAAATATCATTTCATTTCATTTCGATTGGTTTCAGAAATTTTTATTCTCATGAGAATTTGTACATTCACTTACATGAGAACTTATTGTGACAATTTAAAAATGTAATACCTATTAAATATGCCGACGAGCATCCATGGGTAACAAATAAATATTGTCAATAAAAGGTCTAAATGTAATAGTATTTGAAGTAACAAAATATTTGAAATAATTACTTTTTACCAATTTTAAAAAGAACATCCTCAAACAGTATCAAAGCAAACAAGATTTATCATGAATAATAGGTCTTTAGCTATGAAATTGCCGTTTTGTATGCAATAAGTGAAAGTACTTATATTTTCAAACTTTTTTATTTCTGCTATTCGAAGTAATCACCCATGCAAGGCAACCCTCGCACTAGGACTATGATTCTGTGTCGCGGGGGACTTTACAAACATACACGAAACGGACACAAAGGACACCCAGACTCAGAACAACAATTTGTGGATCACACAAAGTTATGTCCTATGTAGGGATCGAACCCAGAACACTTAGCGAAGTAGGAAGTGGCGCGGCGACCGCTTAAACCACTACGCCATCCGTTTCATTAAAGACACTGTCACTGATTGCACGTGTATAGGTGCATAGTATTGCAAATACGACTGTTCGCTTGCAACGTTACTATTGTTCTAAATTAAGCTAAGGATCAGGCTGTTGCGGTGGCATTCCTAATCAGACTTCGGTATGCCTGAGGACTTCACGGCAATAATTGCTGTCAGTGTACGTGCGCCTAGGTATGCCGAAGGATCCCTTACCATGCCGTGCCGATTAGTAATTCTAAACACATTGAAATAAGGATAAAAAGAACTTGATTAGAAATAAAATCTTTTACCAAGCCGTACCGTATCGTGACGTCAGTCAGCGCCAGCCTTAAAACTGCACGCCGCGCCGTCTCGGGTAGTAACTGGGGAACCAGGTGTAACCTAGAAAGGAAATCCCTGATAACACGAAGACCTCGAGTCATCTACGACTTACAGATCTTTGTGTGTCCACTACCATGACACAATCAGTCACGAGGTCATGACTCTGCTCCAAACACGCCGGGCTTTCTGCCAGCTTATAAAGCGCCGTATCCACGCTCTGGCCATTGCAGTGGTGGCCCCCAGGCTTTGACTTCTTGTGGATCAGACACATTTATCAGAGGGTCCTGTGTTTCCTCTCTAGCCATTTCTCCATAACGGGTCTTAGCTCCGCAATTACCGCGTGCAAGAATTAAGCCGCCCCATAATTTCCGGAACGTAAAACTATCCGCCCGGTATAGGATTTTTGGGAATACCGCGCCCGCGTCTTGAGTGACTCAAATTATACATACATAACTATTAAAATAAATAAATGAAATAAAATAAAAAAGTCATTTATTCTACTACTAAATTTTTTAACAATACTTGATGAGAATGTATTTAGTAATGCATTGTATGTATAAAGTAATTTGCTTGTTCTAAATTTTAAACAACATTGCAGTAAATTTGATAATAACCAGTTAATGGTGCTAACTATTAAATAATCTTTCAGTGAATAATATAATAATTAATTAATTGTGTTAGGTAAAATAAATAACATTGTAATGAATTGAAAATAATTAATTAATTGTGCTAAATAATAAATAACATTTAGTGACATATTTCATCATCACAATATACTCATACACATCATCATAATATACTCGTATATCTTATTTAATTAAAAAAAAATAGAATATTGTTGAACAATTAATTCATTCTATATCAAATCATTTTAAACATTAATTCTATGTGTAACATTGCATGCATGTATATTAAATTAATATTATTTTATCCATATTATTTCAAATTTTTATTTACAAAATTTGACTAAGTAGTAGTCGCCTCCTTGGCGTAGGCCTCCCCCTTTTCCTACCAGTACTGCCTGTCTCTAGCTTTGGTCATCCAGGTAGGTCCTTCTCTTTCTAGGAATACATCTGCCCAACGTTTCCTTTGTCTTCCTTGTGATCATTTTCCGTTTCTAAGGATTCACTCCGTGATCTTTTTCGTCCATCTATCATTAGCCATCCGACATATATGCCCCGCCTAATTCCATTTCAGTAATCTTATTCTTGCTGTAACATCTGTAATTTTGGTCATTTTTCTAATTTCATGGTTAGTAATTCTGTTCCGCAATCGTATCCCTAACATGCTCCTTTCCATTTTACGTTGGCATATTGCAAGCTTGTCTTCTTCACATTTTCTTAATGACTAACTCTGACACCCTATGTTAAACAAGGCAGAATCGCTATATCAAACAGCTTTCTCTTTATTTTGATATAGATTGCTTTATTTTTCATTATTTCTTTTAAACCCCAGTATTTCTTCCAAGCTATAGCGATCCTTCGACGTACTTCATCCTCGGTGTGGTGTTCAAAAGAAACAGATTGACCTAGATAAATATAATCTTTGACATATTCTATGTCCTGACCATCAATAATGATTGATTTTTTCACTATACTATTAGTGATTATTTTGGTTTTTGTAAAATTGATAGACAGGCCCATCATGATTTTCAGCGAAGACAACAAAGTCATCTACAAAACGGAGATGGCTTAGATATTCTCCATTTATTAGCAGTCCCTTCTTCGACCAATCTAGTTTTCAAAAGATACTCTCTAGAACGGCTGTAAATATTTTTGGTGATAATGGATCACCTTGTCCGACAAGGTGATCCATTATCCTTTCCTTATAGCAAATTTCTTACCCTCTTTTTATAGTCTAATCTTTGCACAGCTTTCGTTATATATGTTTTGTAACACAGTAATATATGTAATTCCACGCCTTGTTTACGAGGTGTATCACAGATTATATTGTGTTTTAAGGAATCGAAAGCTTTTTATAGTCTATGAAACATAGATACAGTGTTTTGTTATATTCCTTGACTTTTTCAATTGCCTGTGTCAGTAGCTCTTTCGGAAGCCTGCTTGCTCGCTTGGCTGGTTTTCATCCAAAATGTTTGTTATTCTGTTTAGAATTAAAATAGTTTGTATATGTTCGACATCAGACTGATAGGTCGGTAGTTATTAAGTTCGCTCCTGTCACCTTTTTGTACAATAAGACGATGGTATATGAACTATTAGGACACAACAAAAATTTATTAATATGGGACTCCTGAGTTGCAAGCGTTCATGGGCGGTGGTAGTCACTCTCCATGGGTCATGGGTCATGATGGAAAGCGATTACTGCCGCCCATGAACGCCTGCAACTCAGGAGTCACAAGCGCGTTGCAAGCCTTTGAGGAAGGAGTATGCTCTTTGTTTGAAGGTTTGAACGTCGTATCGTAGTGTCGTAGTGCCTTTGCATAGAGATGAGAACAGTATCCCACATGCGGTCGGATTTGCGCCTTATAGAGTTGGAGGCGAGGGGCTGGAGTGAAATACTGCCTCGATCTGTTCAGCACACCGAGCTTCTGCGATGCCAATTTGACCTTACCCTCTAAATGACCGCGAAACTGGACTTCGTTCGATATCTCGATGCCTAGGATTGCAATACTGGCTAAGGCAGTTAGGGAGGTGCTCTCGAATCGAGGCAAACCTGTGTCTTTTTTGGTTAAAATGGACCAGATTCAGTCGACCCCAAGCCGAAACCTCCGCTAAGGAAGCTTGAACTTAAGACACAAGTTCGTTTCGACTCTCGATGACGTTTTGAAGAGAAATATTGGGACGGCCGGTATAAAAGGCATTTCCCGTGCTATCATCTACCTGAAATGGATGCTACTAGTTCGTAGCATATCATTGATATGCAGAAGAATCAGTATGGGTGATAGCACACAGCCTTGCGGGACACCAGCATTTACTGACTTCAAGTCGGAGCATGCACCGTCGATAACGACCTTAATGCTTCTACCTGCAAGGAAACTGGTGAGCCAGTTACATAATTTCTCTGGAAGCCCATAGGAAGGGAGCTTCGAGAGAAGCGCCTTATGCCACACCCGATCGAAGGCCTTCGCTATGACCAAGCTTACCGCACAAGCCTCTCCCTTGGTCACGATCGTCTGTGCGCACCGGTGTGTTAGAATCAGAGTCGAATCAGAGGTCAGCAGAAGGTCCTACAGTGAAGGCTCATGACTTTCCACATCTGAGACTCGCGTGGGCGTTGATACCAGTTGTGAAAAGCCATAGGTCAGGGCGAAATTGTGAACATATCTCCTCGCGTGATCGGTTTTACGGGAGCCAAGCCATTCGGCGTTGTGAGCGTTAAAGTCGCGAAGAATCACGATCTCTGCGGATGGGATCTGCTACAGCACAGAATCTGTAGCCATTTGGACGTGGTCCATCAATCGGTCAGTTTCGGTATCACCGCCATGGGACCTGAAGAGGCATGCATAGACGCGTCGCTGTCTACACGAAGCCACAAAATGGAGAGGTCCCGTCCTTCAAGATTGCCGAGGCGATATGATTGTATAACTGATATCATCTCTAACGTAAACACACACTCCAGCCCTAGCAACGAAGGAGTGCTCCAGGTGATAGCCAGGGTAGGCTTTAAAGGTAGGATGAGTCCGATAGAGATGACATCTGCGTCTCGGTTAAAAAGAGCAAGGTCGGCTTTACTGTCTCGAGTTGGTGGTGGACAGCATTAAGGCCGTGGTATCGCACCGGTCAAGCCGGCCCATTTATGCCGAAGCATGGCCCTCCCACGGTAAGGTTTTGGCCTATTATACCACGCTGGCCAGAAGGGTTGGTATAGGGCGTGTGTGTATATTGTTAAAAGGATTGTAAAAAAACAAAACAATAGACCAATGGCTTTCTCTCTGTCACTTCCGACAGTCATTTTCTCTCTTCTAATTCGCGTAATGTCTTTTCCGATGTAATCAAAATTTGCTTGGGGCACCAAGCAAATTTTGATCCGAATCGCAAATTTGATGGAGACATTTTTCTGCGGAAGACTGAAAATCTTGAAAAATGATTCCATAACTAGTCCAACAATACTTGAAATTATGTAATTTCGCGAATTCCCTTGCTGTGCAAAACAACTTTCTGGAGCTGAAGTCAGATATATTGCAGCAGAGATCGGGCGACATCGCCAGCTAATCCAATCAATTGCTTATTTAATCGGTTCTCCTTAGTTTTTTTTTATTGAATTCTTTCGCCTGGGTAAGAAATTTTTGTTTCATTTGCACGCTGGAAAACTCGGTAAATATTGGCCTCGCCGTTCCTGTCTTACCTGGAAGCCTATATACATCTCGAATAAGCGTTTTATTTAGGCTTATATCAAGCACCGATCCAAGCCCGGTGATAATTTCAGTCAAGTCTTCTGACGTTTCCTTGTCTTTAGTCTGAACGACGTTGCGAATACATGATGAGTGCGTGAGTGTTGTAAGTTTAGTATTTTAATTTTTAAAGTTCTAATGCTATCTGTATACGATTGTTTTTCTTTTTGTAAAGACTCAATTTGCTTCTTAAGGTCGTCATACTATTCGTTAATAAAATCAACACTATTTTCTATCTCCATGTTTGATTTTTGAATTATTAAATTTTGAAGCTTTAACTCCGCAATGTCAGAGACTAATTTACTTAAAGTTGTATTTTGTTTACTTAAAAATGTCATAAGATTAGCTTCCTGTACATTTTTCTACTTCTTCAGCATATGTTTAATCTCACGCCTAAAGTGTTGATACTCATTAGAAGATGAAGACTCCGATTGCGGGCGTTTATGTCGCGAACTAATAAAATTCTCCCCTTGGCCATTGGATTATATATCATAATCTATCTATGACAATCGCACGATTGTCATAGATAGATTATATTGATAAGTCGCTAATTAAATGATACTAGCGATTTAGTATAGAATAGTTTATTTGATAATAGACAATTGTTTTTATACATATTTAAAACTTACTTAACATTAAAACTAGAAAAGTGTTACAATACGGGGAGGAGATTTAATAACCTGCTACAAAATCAGAAAATAAATAGAAAAGATAGGTACAATAATTTAAAAAGTTAAAAGTTGGCTCCCAATTTATTTTTTAATAAATTTGTGTAGATTGATTTTGAAATATATTCTGGTGTTTAATTTATTCAATGCTACATGCCTGCCTAGATTATTAATTATATAATCTAAGGCTACATGGAATTGAGGTAATTTATTATACAGGACTCTCAACGGGCATCACTCAAGACGTCTAAGGTAACTGACTATCCTATGACGGTGATTGGGTAGTCTGCTGGTAAATCTGTAAGGACTTCCTTAAATAACTTCTTATAGGTTACTGTCATTTGGTCATGAATCTTTTGGATGAGATCCGGCACGTCTTTCATTGACAGCCCAGTCGTCGGTACGGGTTCAAGGCATTGGATCACGACGTGACCTGTAAATTTAATTAACGGCAACATTTATTTCAGTTTCTTCAAGATTATTATATTTTTTTCAGTTTTTCAAGTAATAAGGTTTTTTTATGTGCAATGAAATTTATAATGTAATGTAATGAATTATTATTAATTGTTGTCTTTGGGAAAAAAACTGAATTAAATTATTATTATTATAGTAATGACGCAACCTAAAGTAAATAAAAACATTTCATAACATTGTGTCCCCATCTACGCATCCTCCAGACGAACGTGGGCCACATTGCCGGTGCAATCTTCTGCTCCAGAGCATGGCACAGTGGTCCATCAACATCGCCGCTGTCGCCGAGCCATATGTCCATCGGTTTCTCGGGACTGCCTGGGAGATCGACTTGGATGGCTCGGCGGCACCAGTGCAGGTACCGTCGATGGCACTCCTCCTCTTGCCGTGGTTGCAAGGGGACGGGGTTGCGCCTGGTCAAAGACCTGGGATTCCCGGTCGCAGAACGACCTCCATCCTCCATAAGCGCAGGCCTGGGGGTGACAGGTGAGGCCATCTGTCAACCTAGCAGAAGCAGGCCCAAAGGGAACATGAGGGTTCCCACACAGAAGGGGGTCATCTACCCGCCGTAGATGGCCCGAGATGCGTCGGGTATCAGGGAATTCCTTTCTAGGGACCTTCGGATTTTCGAAGTGTTTATCTTTCACGTCTAAGGTGAATAAAAAAGGACCATTGAAAGTTGAAAATCGAATGTTGCACATTTTTTAAAAGAAGAACCTCAGGTATCATGTGAAAAAAGTTTCACACGAAAATCTCACACCATGAAGGTTTTATGTCAACTCAAGGTATCTATTACTATACAACGACAATTTCATACTTTAACCCATTTTTTTTTTTATATTATTAACAGTTTACTTAAGTGACATTGTGCTAATCATTTTAAAGAAACTACAAAGTTGACACTTGCCTAATAAGGAGTGATATTTTTTGCTTGTCATTACGAGAAGCGATCAATTATGGATAGATAAGTTGAGTTATTACATTAAATAACAATATACAGGGTTACTGGGTAAGTCGACCTAAATACTTTAAAGGGTTTTATTATGAAATACCATATACCAAACCCAACCATTTTCAAGATATTGGACTTCTAAGATTTTTTATAAAATTACCAAAATTTTGCCTATTTAATTTTTTATATCCATTATTTTATGATTGTTTTACCGTTTCTGTGTAGTTGATATATGTTTTATAGTTTAAAAAAATTTGATGAAAGACCGGGAGTTTTAAGAATTAGCGTTTCAATTCAAACTGGAATACTATACTAATAATAATTATTTCTATTGTTGTATTTTTGATATTGAATGTTTGTAATTTTTTATTATCCTAATAACATATTTTTTTATTGTAATGCTTGTTGATACACAACACTTAGTTTTGTTTCCTGGCACGTAAATAAATAATGCTGTTGGTTTCCGACACGGAAACAGGCGACATACTTACAGATGGCCATGTGAAAAACATGGATTTTCAAGATTAATGCCACAAACACTTAACGACCGGGATTTATTTATTGACATTGCAAATGCAGGAAATTGTAACCGTTTAAAGTCGAATGGCATGTCGTCCGGAATCATAGGGATGCGTGGAATCAAAACATTAAACAAACGTTGCCCTTTTAAAATTGTGGCTTCGATGACGTTGTTCATTAATTTCTTCACTGCAAGCTGATTTATGTTTCGTAACATTATGATTACCGATCCGATTTTTAGTTTTAGATTATGAGGCGGTAATCCGGGCGATTCCTAGGAATTTAAAAATTCCGTTGGATAGTTGACAACATTATCTTTAGTATCATCAATAATATAACGCGTTCACTTAACCAAACATGATTTTTGTAATTTTTGTAAGGTTTGGGAAAAGCATCTCGATGAGTTTGGTCTTTGATTCAGTTAAGTGACAAAAGTTTTGCAGGGAATGAAATGGGAAAATACTTCACCACTGTCGTTCGTCATTCGTCATTTTGCAATACCACAATCACCTGCCAATAGAATCATCCCTCCACCAAACCGCTTACAGTTGTTTCGTAAATGATGCCTCCAAAGATTTTTTGTGTGCCATTAGGAATTCATCCCAAACGATTAATCTACTTTGCTGCAACACTTTGGCCATCGTAGAATTCCTCGAAAGGTTGCAAATTGGAGTTTCATTAACTTGCATGTTCAACGGCAATTTGAGTGCTCAATGAGCTGTTCGACTGCCCCCCAACAACGTTTCTGCAATACCTGATGATGCAACTGCAAGTGCAATACCGTTTTGCAATCGAATCGTTGCCAAAATCAATGATGACAAGATTTTTTTCCAGTTCCACAGAAGAAAAAAAAAATCCATCAGTTCCATTGTTCACTACTTGCATGATTGTATCGTAGGCATATTTTTTCAACTTGATATATGTCAATCGCTCTGTCTCAACTTAACGTACATTTCCACAGCATGTTGGTGAAATAGACGCCGACATTTTAAGATGTGGTTGTCCTCATTATCTTGAACCATCAGTCGGTAATAATTATAATAATTCATTAATCTAACTTTTTTGTTAGTTTCGGCGCCTGTAATTGGATTTATCATCTTCATTGAAAAATGATACCCATCTTCATCTTGCCAAAATAAGATAGGATATTGTAACGCATCATATGATCGATGCGTTTCGGATACACGCTGCAGTTGATTGTTCCGCCAATGTAAAACAATATCTCGATTTTCTACATTTTCACCCATGACGACAATAGCGACTTCATCAATTGTTGGCGCATTGAAACGTCTTTCGTGTTGTCCTACAGCCGTCTAATCGGCTTTGATGACAATTTTGTGGTTATCGAATGGCATGCAATCTAATGCGGTCTTGAATAATGCAACCAATTCCTTGGCTTCCAGGGGCTTCATTTTTAAACTTCAATGCCTTGCAATGTGAACATACAACGTTCCTAGGTGGACTAGCAACGATTTGCTGTGAACTGTAATCGAGTGCCTCGTTATAATTGAATACCGCTCGATGTGAATCAAATGCAACATTTCTATGTCCTTGATATCTATTTGACCTGCTCTTAAATATATATGATATGTTTGTACGCCTACTTTTTAGCATTTTTAATAACAACATTTCAACTGAAAATTATAAATGAACGAACTTAAAACTATAAATTTTCTGATTCCATCGACTGTGCAGTGTGCACTAAGAAATGAAAACCATAAATCATTAACAACATGCAAAATCAAAACAAAATAGTTTAATTTTACCTCGTCAAAGATAGCATTCCGACCAGGGAGCTGCGTAAGGGTTATAAAACGTAAATACCGATCATGGATTTCCTGTCCTGCCTCACCTGTCACACCCAAGGCTGTGCTAATGGAGGACGTAGGTCTTTCTGCGACCTCCGGCGCCTGAGTCGTCTGCGGTACCTGGCCCGTTCCCGAGCCTGGCGGGCCGGGACAGTTCTAAACCTCTCTCGGTGCCGCTCCGCCATCTCCTTCGCAAGCATAACTTGCTCGCAGAAGGAGACGGCAGTGTTCCACGCACTCTCCAGCGTGTGGAGCGCCTTGTCCACGGTCCGACCATCGCAGTGGTGGCACTCAGGCGTTGGCTCCTTGCGGATCAGACACAGGTGATCCCCGAAAGTCGGTATGAGAGGGTCCCGTGATGCCTCTCGAGGCAATCCTCCATAACGGGGCTTATCGCCGCGATGACGACGTGCCCGAACTGACAGACAACTGTTAAACATCTGCCAGTTAACATGCTTAGCAATGATTATATAAAGCTGGGGTTAAGGTTACATTAAAAAAGTTTATAATAAAGGTAGTCGTTAAGTTTTCTTAGTTACTTCTCAATTTTCTTATTTTTTTTAATGTAAGAACCTTCTACGAAGTATTAGAAAACATTTAAAAAAAGATGAATAAAATCGGTAAAACCGTTCTTAAGTTACATCTCATGGCCCGGAGAAATAGGGGTTAATTTTTATGTATATAGATCTTAAAAGTCCAATATCTTGAAAATGGTTGGGTTTGGGATATGGTATTTCACAGTGAAATGATTGCAACTACAACCCCTTAAAGTATTTAGGTCGACTTATCCAGTAACCTTGTATAATGATGACAACCTACTTACCTTTATTAAAAATATATTTCTCCCTATTTATGAAATAATAGGGCGAAAACACAACGGGTATGATCGGTACTTGTGCCGCCACTGCTATATTGAAAGCTCCCTTTTTGAATGGCAACAGTTTTGTGTAATCTTTGTTCCTCGTTCCTTCCGGGAAAACCCAAATCTTAGTCTGAAAGAAAAACAATGTTCTCACTATACAAATAATTTATCATAAACGTATGATACAGTTTAGTTTATTTTATTTACTTAAAACTTTATTATTAGTTTTCTGTAAATTTAAACGGTTTTGTTTATGTTGCAAAGACTGCCTAAAGGAAGATCACAAGCGGGTGACTTTAAACTATTCTGACCTAGATTGGCATTATTAGGGATCTCCAAGCTTTACTCAATTAATTTCTGTAACCAGCACCATACAATAGTAATGTAGGAACTTGTAGAGTCATGTACGCACTTCATGTACAGATTTTGTATGTTTACAGAATGTACAACAGTGATTAAAGACAGCTCTGCGCACTTTCGTTAACATACGAGTAATGACACCAGGTTCGGTAGGGAACATTTTACCTTAGCAGATAGTCGTAGTACTTATTTTACTTTAGTAATAGATATCAATTTATAATATTAATCGTACTATGCCTTACGTGTTCATTAGATTGTGTGGATTTTTATTATTGATTGATTGCTGAGATTGTTTATTCTGTTAACTTTTCTCAAAACAGCCTTACGTCTCTTTAATAAACTGTTTATTAAATTTAAACTAGTCAGCACAGTATTTGTTTAAATAGTAATTCGCGTAATTACCTACTAATTATGAAAATATTACATAATTTCGATATCAAGGATGTAACATGTATTATCTTTCAATTAATTAATCAGCAGTTAATCATTGTAGTAAAAAAATTGGACTACAGCGGCTTCTATTAGCCTGGATATGTTTGTTCAGCAAAGCAATCTTAAGGTAGTTACTCACTCAATTCTAAGATGTTGCATAAATTCATTGTGTTAGTAACTTGTATTGTAATGACTAAATGAGACGAGAACGTATGAACATTTCGTCAGTTCGAAGTTCTAATGGGTATTTTTTTAGGGTTTAAACTTTTTGATACAATATCATACGCTTTCTTCAACTAATCAGAAAGAAGGTAGGTAACAAATAGCTACAAATAAATAATTATATACTTATATACGGTAAGTAAACCAAAGGGTTAATATAATAAAGTCACTCAATTGCTTTGAGATGAGATAAATACGTCAACATTACTCAAAAAAATTACAAGAATAATTCCATATTCATGTGAATAACTGACACAAACTTTCTTCAGTGGAACAATTATTTTGTTCTCGTGTAAAATATACATTATTGACTTATGCATTGCTAAAACTTGATTGACAATTTGTCCTTAAGCCGATAAATGAAAACCTACTTAAAAAGTATATTTAAGAACTGATTAATGTATGAGCTTATTTACATAAGGAGCTAACAAGACTTTCCTATTTATTAGCTCTGCCTCAAATAAAAAGCTAATCGATTTTCAGCGATGCTTTTGTTTGGGGCTCAAAAAGACTATACATGTCACTTTGTGTTTAAGAGAGACCTGACAGTAAATCGCATTACCCGATTCCGCCTTCGCAATCGCAGCCGAAGAAAGGCTAAATAAATTTAAGGAAAGATAAATGAATTTTACCAACCTTTTTCTTTACCATAACCTCTGAGGTGACTTGGAGTTGTTTGTAGGCTCCTTTAGAGTTATTTCTGTCTATGAAAACGACTCCGCCCAGGTAAGCTGAGAGACCGAAAGGCCATACATAAAATAACTCCTTTTTCGCAATGGCTGTAATCTTATCTGCCACTTCCCATATGTTAAACATTCCTGAAAGACAATATTAAGGTTAATGATTCTGTATAAAAGTGTTCTGTTCACGATTAATAGACAGTGATTAGTAATGTTCGATGTTAATTAACGTTATGCAGGCTAGTAATTAATTAAACGCTTTATTATTTAACATAGTCTGCCGTTTTGAAGTTTGTTATTTTAACTGAAAATTAATTGACATGATTGAAATTAAAGTGACAGTTGAATAATTTCATCTAAGTATTTATATTACTGCCACGTGTTACTTTAATTTTAACTAACTTTATATGTACAAACACATTTTTTTAGTTAATTCGTGCATGGTAACTCTCTGATAATGTTTTAGCCAAGTTGTTGTCGAGTTCGCTTGACAGAATTGATTGTCGACCAAACGATGTGGAACTGTGCATGAAATGTTTAATACATCGGTTCACGACTTGTCTATATACACTATATAGACTTATCGAGCGTGTGCGTACATATTGTGAATGCCTGCGGATAGCAACGATGTTATTAGGTTTAGTTTTTTGAAAGTGTATTTAATGCTGTTGGTATTCCGAAGATAATAAAATAAAAAAATATGTACCTAATATACATTAACCCTTATCAGGAGAATCTACTGCTATTAGCTAAACTAAAGGCCCATTTTCCTATTTTCATTGGTATGTGGTGCGAGAGAATTTCATATTAGCTATTAAGATCTCTTCACCGATTGTTGGTTCTACGAAAATGAAAAATGGAATTGAGAACCTACTTCTTTTTAATTATTTCTTTAAATTTAAAATATATTTAATAGCCGTTTACCTCAGGCTCACTGATAAACGTTTAATCTTTCTCTGAATTATTATTAAAATATTAAAAGGTGATTTATTAAGTTGTTTGACTCTATATAAATGATATGATGTCACAACAATACAGCAAAAAAAATCATGTACATCTCCTACTGATTATTATTTATTAAATTATATATCAAACATGCAAAAAAGCTCCTCGTACAGTATTATTAGTGAGGGTGTAAGTCCCAGCTGTTAAAGTGTTAAATGGTTAATCGCTTTTACAGAGTATTTTAGTTATATTTGAACTTAAATTCTCTAATTTGTATTACAATAGTTCAAATTAAAGATTTGTGGTTCAGACGGATACCTAGAATATCGAGCGAGCTTTGATGATTTGAGACAATTACAGCTCCACGATCCTCCGATAAGTATTGTCCGTCCCGGAGTTGCCATTTCAAGTCATAAATCTTCGTCACATGTTTCAATATCCGGGAAGCGACTCTGAAATCAAATTGGACTTTTTTTCCCATATATATATATATTATGTATAAGAACTAAACCGACCAATAAATAGCCTTCTAAAAGAAAGTGTTGAGTAAACTCAAAAAATCAAACAGGCTCAAATGTTGGGAGTTAAAAATTACTAAAGTTAAAGTTAGTATTACTAACTTTGAAATATTTATAGAGTACTAGATTTCTGGATTCCTGACTGTCAGAATCACTGACTACTAAACTAATAAGTATGCCTAAACCCAGAGGTTTCCACCAGGACAAATAATTGTGCGATAAGCACGATCATTAGTTCATTCGTTGTGTGATCATTTGTTCTGTGTCTGGGTGTAATTTATCTATGTACATTTAGAAATATGTAAGTATGTTTATCGGCAGTCTGATTACCATAACACAGGTACTGCCAAATTTGGAATCAAACGGTCGAGTGTGAGATGTCTCGATTTATAATAGTAGTGTGCATTTTAAAATGACAAAGTGGCATCGATAAAAGAGCGATGGTACGTTGTGTATCTGGCTGTTGTCATTGGTAATTCGCAGAATTACCTTAAAAGATAATTTTTATTTTATTTAAGTAAACCGTCTTAATTTGCCATATGCAATATTAGAAATACAATACATAATATATCATGGAGAGTGCTCCGAGGAATTTTTCCGCCATCGTTCCACGAGGCAAAATTTTCATCCCCATCACCTGGATAGTTGGCGCTCCACTACTGTGCGCTTTTCAAGACACTTTTTGCCTCGCACAACCAACGGAACGGGCGGTATTTCGGATCCGATACGAAATTCCAACCTTAAACGCTGAATAGCTTGCAGGTGACATCTGGGGCGGTATACTATGGGGATCTTGTGTCAACTAGGGTGAAATTCCGTGCGTTTAGGCGATTGTGCCATACATATTATAGAAATCAAATATAGCTCACGTAGGACCCGTATATTTTGTGGCCGTGGTGCTTCCCTGTTTAAAAGGGTGTATGCCCGGTGTATGCGTCAATTTTACTTCATTTTGTCTCCCGCTTTGCTAAGGAGGGAAGTGGATTTACTGTATTTCCAACTCCTCCAATTTTCTTCTGATTAATTTCGTTGCGGGTTCCAAAACAGTTTAATTTCTTCCTGGGACTTCTCGAGTGTCATAACTCGGTGTGTTCGTGGGTCACTGCTGTGGATCCTGGTGTACAGGAGTTACAGTGGTGGGCGTGTGGGTGGGATTAGTCTCAATTAAAAAAAAACCTTAAACCGCAACGCGTTTGTGACTCCTGAGTTGCAGACGTTCATTGGCGGCAATGGTCACTTCTTGAACCGTCTGCTCGTCTGTCCCCTCTAACATAACAAAAAGCAATTGTATATCAATCACAACCGTTAAAGTTACGCGGTAGTAAGATACTTACTTATCCGCATGTATTTCTAATTTGCTAATGGCTTTACTAATTGCTCTAGTTAGCTTTACTAAATGTTAGAGAAATCAATATATTTTTGCATTTTCATCTAAAGTCATTTATTATTGCTTTAATATGCCTACACTTTCAGTTTTTATATTTACATTTCCAAAATTTAAAAAAAGTCACATTGAATTTCAAGTGCTTTCGTTATTAACTTGAGTCAAGAATGCAAAATATTATAATGAACTGAGGAATAAAATATGAAAATGACGGAAGCCCAGTGTCTGGGTTGTTTTTCGTGGTTTTCCTTTATAAAAGCTGTAGTTTTAAAGCTGTTGTTATAACAGTAAATATATTTAAAGATTTATTCCGAGTTCTTACCAATAGTTGTACATAGATCCGTACGGTCCGACGGCAGTAAATAAAGACAACAGTAAATATTAAAGATGTACTCGTATTCCAAGGTCTTACCAACAGTCGCACATAGATCTGTGTAATAGTAATTAAAGATAACAGTAAATACAATTAAAGATGTATTCCAAGGTCTCACCAACAGGCGTACAAACGAGTAGATCCGTACAGTCCGACGGCTCGAGCGAGAAAGACTTAGTACGCGCAACGCAGCTCGTTTACATATCGTATTAACACGAACTATCAGAACTTCCATTATAATCAATTAGAATCTAATTTAAATCAATCTAATTATTTTCATTAAGTGGGGTAGTTTGTAGTTGCTCCGATAAATAAAATCAATATAGCGATCTTAATTTTTTTTTAAATAGCTACGTATCAAATTTTCTATTAGAGTTTTCGTTTGAATTCTTTCTTATTCTCCAATCATCAAAAACTTTGAAACACAAAAATATTTTTGAGAAGTCATTTTGTTCCATTTATAGTCGGTTCAATTATTGAATTTGATGAACCTTCCTACCTTAAAGTAATTGGTCAAATTTTAGCATTGTTAAACTAACGTACGCAATAGGTAGTAGGTGTGCATTATTATGCTAATGTAAAATAATGTTATCAATTTAGCATTATATAGAACCAAATGTTGCAAGTAGCCCTTTTTATAGCCTGTTATTTTTACCTTGGTAAATATTAGGTCTTTACCTATGAAATTCATAGGTAAAGACCTATTATCTGTTGTCTAATTCGTATCACAATCTAAATTGGATAAAGTTTTAATTAGTCTAAAATGTATTGCAATTACAATAAAGACCATATATTCCACCTTAGTAGTGTCTAAATAGAGGAACATTTTCATCACGTTGTCTTTTAGTTCTTCGTACTATTAAGGTTATTTATCTTCTTCGTAATAAGTTGAAGAAACTCACTGACTTCACTGATAAGTTGCTAGACTGTAACCCACGCTCTCGTTCTAAGTGATCTTTACTGCAAAACTTTGTGGGAACGCAATACGAGTAGCTTCGGTCTATTTATTCAACTCAAGTTCTTAAGAAAATATCACATATGTTTGAAAGTAACTTTGCTTCTATTTCCCACATCAATGAAGGATTTTATAAAGCCGGAACGAGTATTCACCATTTTAATTTAGAATACAATATGATATTCCCAGTTATGTAAACCAGTACAATTCTAGTAAGGGCCTTTGATGTACGAGTATTGTCTATAAATCGGTATTAAGTACATAATACTTTCGTTTGATGTACGAGTATTGTCTATAAATCGGTATTAAGTACATAATACTTTCGTTTGATGTACGAGTATTGTCTATAAATCGGTATTAAGTACATAATTCGTTGTGTATTATGTAGGGACTAATCCTAAAGTTATTAGTAAAATGTTAGTTACACATGACAATGCCAAGTGGCTTTAGGTATAGTCTTGAGATTACTTACCCATGATTTTAGAGATCAGAATGCCCAATTAACCTTCCTCGATGAACTATAATTTGTAGAATCGACTTCGGACGAGGGTGTTTTCAGTGAACAGTTCATCGATAAAGGTTAATTTGGCATTCAATTCTGAGCTCTAATTACCTATATTTTGTTGCACTTTTAATCGTCATTTGTTCTACGAAATATAACTGTTTAAAGAGTAGGTCCTGTACGTATTTTTTTTCTGTTTAATACGCACAACAGACACAAACAACACCAAAAAAGTGATCCCTGCTTTGAGAAATTATAAAAAAGACTTGTAAACAGATAAAACTGTATCGTGCACTGCTGGACATAGGCCTCTTCTTCGAAATGAGGTTTTGGCTTACTATACCACGCTGGCATATAATTAAAACAAAGGAAACAAATAATCAACAAAATATATATTTGTGTTTTATTCAAATTCTTATCAACTACGAGTATCTTTAAGAAAGCAAATTAGTAAATTTTACTTTGACCGCAACATCATCTAACGCAAATGATTCACCAACAATAGAGGATCTGGCACTCGGCGGCCACTACCCCGGCCCGCTCGCTGCGCTTACTCGCCTTTGCGGTTTAATGGTTACTGTTCCAACCTTTGTTTTTCTACGTGTGGAAACCCCTTGGGCCGTCACCAAACCGGGGTTTGCGGGGGGGTGGTGTGTTGGAATCGGACCGACTAAAACCACACCGAGTGCCACTCTGCGCCTGTTATAGAAGGGATCCGTGAACTGCTGTTATTAAGACATCCAGACTCCTCCTAGCGCCTGCTCGCAATGTCAGTGTTCTAAACTAACCTAACCCAAATTTAACTTTACCGTATTTTAGTCCGTAAAGCCGTTAGTCTCCAGCTTATGTAGGAAGTTTGTAGATTATCTAGTTAATGTAAGAACTGAAACAATTTGTTCCACTTTACCAGATTCGACACGATAATCTGCAAATTAATAATTTAATCTGCACTCTAACTGATTTACCTACGTACATTAGCGGTAACATATACATCCATCGATCCATCCAAACTTTCGCATTGATAATCAGATTAAACACGGTAGGCAGCGGCTTGGCTGTGCATCAATAAACTGCCAATGCATTGGCAAAGATGCGTCGATTGCATGGGTGATTACTTCGAATAACAGAAATAAAAAAGTTGAAAAAAAAAGTACTTTCACTTATTGCATACAAAACGGCAATTTCATAGGTAAAGACCTATTAATAATAATGTATAATAATAAGTAATAATAATAAGTTGTATCGTTGTATAGTAGATACTTTGAATTAACATAAAACCTTCATGGTGTGAGATTTTCGTGTGAAACTTTTTTCACATGATACCTATGAGATTCTTTTTTTAAGTGCAAACATTTGATTTTCGAAAAAGCCGAGTCATTTTTTAATACGTTAGTTCCGACGCGGATGCATTTGGAGAGAAGACTAAGAAGAAATAAGAAGAAGAAGAAGTTAGTAAGAAGTTTTAGTTATACGGGAAAGGGGAAAATTTGGGCAAAAGGTTTTTTGCCCATGAAATTAATCATCTAGCTAGTTATTCATTATCGTCTTAAGTTGTCATTAATATTTAAGGATGTTAAAAATTGATGTCCTTGAGAGTAAATTAGACCGAATTAAGCTTATCATAATAATATTTTGCATAAATTACCTTTACGAATGAACAATTTTTTTTGTGTAAAATATAATATAATCCAATACACTATGTGTTTTATTTAATTTATGT